AGCAGGATTGCCTGCCAACAAGACACTAATACTCAACAATCCATACCAGAGAGGCAATGGGTAATGCTGGACGTGGCTTTCAAGATTATTGTGTGGATATAATGGCATGATCTCGTGCATGTATGTATTATTATTTAATATTTTTAGAATTCATACCCCACACTTTTGGTCCAGAAGGACAGCTAACAAAGGCAGAAAAACAAAACTGAGCAATTAAAAGCAACAACTGGAACCTGCAACAAAATGATACAGTATATCAAGTAATAGTGATGTTCAGGATTTCAGTGAGCCTGCAACCGGAAACCTATCTAGGCCAGGGGCAGTTGGGGTAAGGACAGTGGAAGACAAAGGGTACCTCTGTTCTTCCCACTTCCAATCCCTTCACCCGTTGTGCTATATAGCAGAGGGGTAAACAGGTCCAAAAATCTGCTTTGTATCTGTTTCTGTGTTGTGCTTAAAACTCCAGACTGTTTCTGAGTAGTTCTGCTTGCTTTGCTTGAGATGTTGTGCATACCGAAAAACTCTGTGCTTGAAATTCATGAACTGGAAACAGTGACAGCTCTCCCTCCCCATTTTTCCTCCATTTTGGCAGAAGCAGATGAAACTTGTAGGCACAAGAGGGGCCCCAGAGTGGCTTAATGGCAGATCTGGAGGCTTTTGTGCAGGAAATAAAAGGGATTCAGTACATATTAGGGCCATACCTTTATTAGGCCAACTTTAAAAATCCATATTAGTTTCATATTTTCAAGGGAAATTGAGCTTTGACTCTGTCCCCAGCTAACCCCCCTTCCATACTCTATGGGAACTGAAACACAGTTATCTGAAATCTGCAGCTGTCCACATTTTGCAATGCTGTTCTCCAGCCAAACAACTTTTATAAAATGCATATATTAGGAGAAAGTGTGTGTATAAACAATATATCCATGAAAATAACATTAAAAAATGCATTTTTTGGGGGGGGTGATTTGCAAAAATGTGTGTGACTCAAAACTGCATTTTTATCAGGAGAAAACCAGACTAAAGTGCTGATAAATTTTCATGAGGATTTTAAACAACGACAAAAAACACAAATTACCACAGAAATATAAGACTGGGAGAAAGAGAGAACCAAAACTGACAGACCCAACTATTATTATTATTATTATTATTATTATTATTATTATTGTTAAAATTTATATACCACCCTATACCCACAGGTCTCAGGGCATTTCACAACATAAACATTATGAAACTGATATCATGTATGGAGAAGTGGGGCACATTGATGCACAGGGCACATTGATACACCAACAATATTTCAATATCGAGAAATGTTATTCATGCCGCAACATCACTAAAAACATGTCTATACATGTGTGAGTACAACAGTTGAAACCGCGCCACCTGCCAGTTAGCCGCTGGCGTTTAACGAGAGTAAGTGTGTTTTTAACAGGGCCAACTAAAAAATTACATGAAATGTAAAAGTGTTCCAACACTTGTTTATGTCATTTAGTTAAGATTTAAAAATACCTAAGGTAAGTTATTCCACTCAGTATTCAGGATTACACGTGATTTTTAAATAGGTTCAGTGGTTTTTTAAATAATTGTTAGCTTTTTTGAAAATGTCCGTTGGGGCACTTTGATACACTAAGATATTGATACATATAAAAGTGCCCTGCTAGTGTAAAATAGTGCCCCAATATACAAGTTTGAATGAAAGCTCTAAACTCATTAAATTTTGGGGGGGGAAGAAATGTTGTTTACTACGTGGCCAAAGTCATTTCTAAATATAATATGACAGATTATCAAGTGTCATATCTCAGGAAAAAACCAGGATCTTGTATGTTTGTCTTCCCCACTGTAGAAGATAAGGCAAGCGTTGATTTCAAGGATGTTGTTTTGCCATTGCCAAAACCAAATTTCCCAAAAGGCACATCTCAAAAATCATCTCTTTATACTTTTTCTTTTGACTTAAGTGGATATAATGTGCAACAGAAGGTAAACGTTAACTAATTATCTTATTTTTTATAAGCATTTTGTTTAAATTACTATTTTTTGACTACCTAATGTGAGTTCTTATACTTTTTAAGTTTTTTTCAAAGTTTTTTAAAGAATGGATAGGTGTTTGAGGAAAGATTAATATAAGTTTTGATGTTTTCTTAAGAAAACCTGCCATAAAATCTATGATATGTGTGAAACACTGTTAGTTTTGATACATAATTTAGATTTTAAGTAACAAATTGTAAGGCTGATTATGATTTCTCACAATAAAAATTGTACAATTTACGCTTTGTATCAAAGTGTCCCATCCAATGTATCAAAGTGCCCCGTAGGTGGGGCAGAATGATACAACCCCCCCTCTTTTTTTTTACTGAAGTCATTATATTCTCATTATCTTCTAACTTTAATGGTTCTTTTAATTGCTATTATAATATTGATTAGTTATGCCATGCATCAAGCCCAAAAAATTATTATTTGGCTCATTTTTGTTACATTAAATATGAGATTGATTTTTTTTCTGTATCAATCTGCTCCACTTTCCCCTATGGACTTCAAACCTGTTTTGATATATTGCCCAGCCCTACCCAAGAGACATATTACAGGAGAAGTGCTGAAACAGCAGCTCGAGATGATGATGATTTATTAAATTTGTATACCACCCTAGACCTGTAGATCTCAATATGTTCACAACATAAAATCACAATATAAGAAACCCAAAATACGTAATCAAAATAAAAACACAATCCCCACTTCTACAATGTATTTTAAAAGGGCATCAGATGTCAATCATCCAAAGGCCTGGTTAAAAAGGAACGTGTACAAAAGGTGTACAATGAAGGTGCCAGCCAAATCTCCCTGGGGAGAGCATTCAACAGACAGGGAGCCACTACAGAAAAGACCAGTTCTAGTTTGGCCACCCTTCGGACCTTTCATGGAGGAGGCACACAAAGAAGGGCCTCAGATGATGGTTGCAAGAGCCTGGGTTGGTTTCTGTGGGAAGAGGCGGTCCTTGAGGTATTGCGGTCCTGAGCCATTTAAGGCTTTATAGGTCAAAGCCAGCACTTTGAATTGGGCCCGGAAACTAATTGGCAGCCAGTGCAGTTGGACCAGAATTGGTGTAATGTGCTCAAACCATCTTGCTCTGGTGAGCAACCTGGCCGCTGAATTCTGCACTAACTGAAGTTTCCGAACCGTCTTCAGAGGCAGCCCTACTGATAACACATTTCAGTAATCTAACCTTGAGGTTACCAGAACATAGAGAACAGGAGTTAGGCTATCCCTGTCCAGATAGGGGCGTAGCTGGGCCACCAGCCGAAGCTGATGGAAGGCACTCCTGGCCACTGAGGCCACCTGAGCCTCAAGAGCAGGGGTCAGCAACCTTTCTCAGCCGTGGGCTGGTCCACTGTCCCTCAGACTTGTGGGACTTGAAAAAAGAAGAAGAATGAATTCCTATGCCCCACAAATAACCCAGAGATGCATTTTAAATAAAAGCAAACATTCTCCAAATGTAAAAACACACTGATTCCCGGACCGTCCGCCGGCTGGATTGAGAAGGCGATTGGGCCGGATCTGGCCCACGGGCCTTAGGTTTCCTACCCCTGCTCAAGAGACAGCAAAGGATCCAGGAGGACCCCCAAGAGACATGGCTGCTCCTTCAGAGGGAGGGTAACCCCATCAAGAGCAGACCACCTAACAGGGCAGAGGCATCTTCTCCTTCTGCTGTCCTGTTCTGCCTTCCTTTGCTCAGCAGAGGGAGCTCCCATACTTACCAATAGTTATGAGGTGTCAGACAAGGAATTGTTTTCTGAGACAGTGCTGAAAGCGGTACAATAGAGTCAGTGAAAAGAAGAGGCTGCTGGGTTGAATCGCAGACCCACCGAGTCCAGCATTCTAGCTCAAGCACTAGCACTCAGTGGCGTAGCGTGGGGGGTGCAGGGGGGGCCAGCCGCACCGGGCGCAACATCGGGGGGGGGCGCTCGCACTCGCAGCTCTCTGCCCCTGCCCTGGCTCACTCACTCTCTCTCACTGCAGTGCTGGCTGTGCTAATCCGATCCGAGCCGCCGGGTCGCCGCCCACTGTGGAGGGGTGTGTGTGCTAGGCGTGCGGTGCGGAGAGAGAGCGAGGGAATATCTGGGGGAGGGGCAGTGCAGCGGCCGCCCAGCGCAGCGCTGAGCGCGGGAGAGAACTACACCAGACCAGCCCAGGCAGCAGCAAGAAGAAGCTGGCAGCGGCGGAAGGTTAGGGGTTAGGGGGCGCAAATTACTTGCCTTGCCCCGGGTTAGGGGGCGCAAATTACTTGCCTTGCCCTGGGTTAGGGGGCGCAAATTACTTGCCTTGCCCCGGGTGCTGACAACCCACGCTACGCCGCTGCTAGCACTCTCCCACCCCTGCTCACTAACCACGGGCATTTGGAGCCATGCTGCCTCTGATCCGGGGGCAATATACAGCCATCCTGACTCGCCATGGATAGCCTCGTCCTCCATGGATTTGTCTAATAACTTGTTGAAGCTGTCCAGATTGGTGGCCATCACTCAGGGCGGTGGCCTCAGGGTGGAAGGATTCGGGCAGCTGGGAGCCAGGGCACTGCTGTGTGGGCCTGCAGCCAAATCCTCACCAGCCTTTTACTCTCCTGGCAGCGAAGGAGGGAGAGCAGGGCGGGGCAGAGGCATCTTCAGTTTTGCCTGAAGACGTGTCAGGAAAATGTGGGAAACAAGTGAAAACATGGTGCGTGTGTCAAGAGAAACAAACAAGCAAACCAAATTAAATGTGATGATAATGTGAAATCATGACCCCTGGATGAGGAAAAATAAAAATTCCAAGAATGCAAAAAGGATGTGGCTCAGGAAAAGTAAAAATAAAAATAAATGTGAAAAACAAGTGAAATCATAACCTGTGGCTCCAGAAAAACAAAAACTAAAAAAACAAAAATGCAAAAAAGGTGTGTAAACTCAGGAAAAAGAAAAATACCCCAGAAGCAAAAAAACAGGTTTTCCCCCTTTCCCCCTTTCCTTTCTTTATCAGCCTGGATACCTCAGTTGGTTAGAGCCTGGGGCTGAGAATGCCAAAGTTGCAGGTTCAATCCCTGTACAGTCATACCTCGGGTTGAAGTTGCTTCAGGTTGAGCGCTTTTGGGTTTCACCGCTCATGCATGTGCAGATGGCCAAAATGACATAATGCGCAGACGCAGGTTGCGTTCGCGTCAGGATGCGAACGGGGCTCCAGAACGGATCCCGTTTGCATCCTGAGGTACCATTGTATTGGACAACTGCATATTCCTGCATTGGAAGGGGTTGGACTAGATCAGGGGTCAGCAAACTTTTTCAGCAGGGGGCCAGTCCACTGTCCCTCAGGCCTTGTGGGGGGCTGGACTATATTTTGGAAAAGAAAGAACGAATTCCTATGCCCCACAAATAACCCAGAGATGCATTTTAAATAAAAGGACTCATTCTACTCATGTAAAAACACACTGGTTCCCGGACCATCCACAGGCCGGATTGAGAAGGTGATTGGGCCGAATCCAGCCCACGGGCCCTAGGTTGCCTGCCCATGGACTAGATGATCCTCAGGCCCCTTCCAACTCTATGCTTCATAGGGGAGTTGCACCACTCCCTTCTTTGTTTTGGTTGCCCCTTTCTGAGCTTTTACCAGCTCTACAATCTTCTTTTTGAGGTGCAGTCACTAGAACTGTACATCTCATTTGTCCTGTCAGGGTAAAAGGCGGGGTATAGCTATAATAATAATAATAATAATAATAATAATTGTTTATTCTTATGTAGTTGCACCATAAATGATGTATAGGGGCAGTTTTATTTTTTTATGCCTAACAATTCCCAACACGAATTTTTCCTCTTTCGCAGTAGTTGTACAGTGGGTAAACATTTTCACAGAGCCATGACCCCAAGATCTTTTTTCCCTGATGAGTTTTTGCATTGAATAAATACCAGCAATACAATAAAGTGCCCATTTTTGTTGATGGATCTATCCTGCAAAGATCTAACAGGGACATTAGTATTATCCTAATCTAAAATAACAATTTTAGGAGGGCTGGGCAGCAGCGGTGGGGGCGGCAGGAAGAGCACCTGAGGGACCCCCCAGCGAGTTGCCCAGGCTGAGGGGCCGACTCTGGCGCTGGCTCCCCTCTTTGTCCCTTTGTCCTGCCCCAAGGATGCGCAGGGAGAGATGGGCAGAAATAGTAATAAGCGAGCACCCACAACAGCCTCCCAGAGGCTCAAACAGGACTACCTGCGCATTAAAAAAAGACCCAGTGCTTTATATACCATATTGGCCTGAATATAAGCCTTACTTTCCCCCCAAATTCTGACTGTGAAAAGTTAAAGTGCAGCTTATATTTGCGACCTTACGGTATGCAGCCAGGAGCACGGGGCAAACAGTGCCTTGACAACACCGCATGAAGGTGACTATTATCTCAGGAAACTAATCTTCCCCAGAGAATTTCAAACCTCTTAGTATTTATATGATAACACTGAACGGAAGATTTAAACGCAATACAAAGATATGTCTTTAAATCACCGACTTCCACCCGGACAGGAGGGACCCAGCGTGGTCAGTCTCAAGCATCTTAACAGGCCTTCTTAGTTTTATGGTTGAAAAGGGTCCCACTCTGGCCAGTATAGAAATGTCAGAGTTCACAAAAAGGCAGCTTGCGTTGCAGAACGTCAAAGGCAAAGTCTCCTGTGAATCGTTCCCTGATGTGGTGGAGGAGATCAAGCAGAAACCGAAGGCACAAGAAGATCTCTACAACCGGCCCCCAACCCTCCCCGACGGGGAAACCCACCACCTCCAGAACAGGCTGCCCCTCCTCAACGGGCACATCCCCTTGGCAGCTGCCAAAAACCACCCAGCCTCCAGCAGGCCAGTCGGAACCATGGACTCCTGGGCGGCACTTGGGCGAACTTGTTTGTTACAGTTGGCTTTGGGGCCGCATGGGAAAGGATGCTCAGAGGAGCAGAGCGCAGGAGGAGGGGCACCCCTCCCCGGTCCAAGACCAAAATTAGTGGTAGCGGCAGGGGGGGGAAAAGCAAAAGCATATGGGACTCCCTAGGTATCTTATTCCAAACTCTGGGACAAATACAGCAATGTACAGGACAGGCAAAAACAAAAGTTTGGCCCATGAGTTTAGTTTTGGGGGTGCAGGGAGGGGTAAAAACCCACCCTAAAAAATTTGGAGCAAATGCAATTTGGGACAGAGGAGGAGAAGAAATGAGCTGCGTCTCAGGTGGGATTCCTGGTTTTAAAAAACAGGCTAGCTATCCAAGAGGAAAAAGGTTTCTGCCTCTCTCTCCCTCCCTCCCCGCAAAATGGGATTGTTGCCTTGTTTTTACTTACCTCAGGATCAGTTCTGGAATTCTTCAGCTCTTTTTCAGTATTCACTTGGATTTGCACATTATTATTTTTTAAAATAATATTTATTAAAGTTTCAAAAGAGGAAAAATCACATTAATAAAAAGATTAACAATAAATAGGAAAAATACAAAGTAGAAAAAAGAAAAAACAGTTAAAAACAATTCCATCTTTTCATCACTTCTTTTACATTTACTTGTTTCCTGGACCTCCTCATACCGCCCTCTTTTGTATTCCAATTCAATTTGTCAATCCAACAATTCCTTTCCTCCTTTTTAATCCTAATCTTTAATCTTGATATATTATAACATTTAATTTTTACATATTAAAAACCAATTTTTCCATATTCTTTTGTACCTGTACAGCTAGAAACCACTTAACTTCAATCCAACATCATTCTAACATTCATTAATTTTGCAATATTTCTGTAAGTAGTCTTTAAATTTCTTCCAATCTTCTTCCACCGACTCTTCTCCCTGGTCACGGATTCTGCCAGTCATTTCCGCCAATTCCATATAGTCCATCAATTTCATCTGCCATTCCTCCAGTGTGGGTAAGTCTTGTGTCTTCCAATGCTTTGCAATAAGTATTCTTGCTGCTGTTGTAGCATACATAAAGAAAGTTCTGTCCTTTTTTAACACCGATTGGCCGACTATGCCCAGGAGAAAGGCCTCTGGTTTCTTCAAGAAGGTATATTTAAATACCCTTTTCATTTCATTATAGATCATCTCCCAGAAAGCCTTAATCCTTGGGCATGTCCACCAAAGGTGAAAAAATGTACCTTCAGTTTCTTTACATTTCCAACATTTATTATCAGGCACATGATAGATTTTTGCAAGCTTGACTGGGGTTATGTACCACCTGTATATCATTTTCATAATATTTTCTCTTAAGGCATTACATGCCGTAAATTTCATACCTGTGGTCCACAACTGTTCCCAGTCAGCAAACATAATATTATGTCCAACGTCTTGTGCCCACTTAATCATAGCAGATTTCACCGTTTCATCCTGAGTATTCCATTTCAACAGCAGGTTATACATCTTTGACAAAATCTTAGTTTTGGGTTCTAATAATTCTGTTTCTAATTTTGATTTTTCCACCTGGAAGCCGATTTTCTTGTCCAAATTGTATGGATTTGCACATTTTGGAGACACCAGGGGGTTCCCCATGACATGCCGGGGGTGGGGAGGGTGCATAAGCCTCCGAATTTGCCCATTGGCCTCTGCATTCTCTCCCTCCACCTTTTGGTCTTTGTTGACTCCTTAGGCTGCCCCTGACGCCTTGGACCTTCCTGTTGGGTGAAGCGGTTTGTAGAGGAAACGCAGAGGGGGAGGGAAGAGGAGTACTTGAGCTGCCTGCCCCTCTTTTCCAAATGCCCAGCCCCATCTGCCGACACTTCATGCGCTGGTGCTCAGCTCTTGAAGACCTCGGTCTACTCTTAGGCCAAGATGTTCAGCATTTTTAAAAAAGGGGCCCACTTGATAAAGCAACGTGTGTCCTGCACCTGGGGTGAAAGGTGTTTTCTTCACAAAGAGCTATTTCTCTTTTTTAAAAAAGGAAAGATTAAGATAGTGAAGTGAGGGGGGATTTAAAAACCCCAATTTTACTCATCTCCACATTATTTTCATCAATTTGGGTATTAAAATGCCCCCACAGCAGTACGTCTGCCTTGGAAATAGTTCCTCAATGTTCTATATTTTAACGCTAATTAGTAATCACACCAGAGCTGCTTAGTATGGTGGTTTGTAGATTTAGGAGACATGAAGACATTTAAGCAGCTAACTGGATTAGTATTAGGAAGGTTTGCTAATACTGTCTGAATATATTCATTATCTGTTGGGTGCCTGCTATCTTTTATGTCTATTTGCTTATCCCTAGAAAGGTGGGAGGCCTGACCTTCCCTACCATACCCTACCATACGTACATGTGTTTAAAAGCTGGAAGAACCACTATTTTAAAACTTTGCAGTTTCATATCATTTGCATCTATAAGCCAAGTTTCTTGTAGGCACAGCAGATCAAATGATTTGAAGGAATGGGAGAATGTGGTTGGGGGGGAGGAGTTTCTGCATGTGGCAGAGGTTAATAATTGGTGTGCTTCCTTGTGGATGAGACTGATAGAGTAAAACAGCTTGGTCTTACTGCCCCCTGAAAATCTTATTTTCTTGAATCGGCTTGTTTGTGGCTCCAGGACTCTGCATGGTGCTATCTACTTTATTCAAAACACCTGAAAGTTGAAAGGAAAAAGTAAGTAAAAACAAATGTGTTACAGGACTGGGAATCTTAACCTTTGTACCAGGCTTTTGAAAAGTGTAAACTCTGCACTGTTGTAATCAACTAGTTTGATACCATGTTTTCAAGGCTACCGTTTTGCATGATCAGAGAATGTTTAATAAATGCTGCTTTCTTGAACATGTTTGCCTTTTTAAAATCAAATCTTTGGAAAACACTATACTGATTTAAATGATCCATATATTTGTGATCAACCCTGTTTGCCTGCCTGCTTTCTTGTCAAACACAACTCTGTATATAACAAATGTATAACATACACTGAATGTCCCAATGCAATATTGGATAGACCCGGGCTATCATCTCTCCATGACACTTTTTCTTAATCTGAATGCCTTGACTGAACCACACGTATACATTGGACTCCGAGTTATCATGGCTGAACTTCCCGGCTTTATAAGCCCTGACCTTATCTTGAAATTTCCTCAATGTCTGTAATATTATTTTGCCAAACACTATCATCTACCTGTCCCTTTAAACTCTTCTCCAATTCGCAATCTCTACTTCCAGTCTCCGTTCCTCTTGGGTGGCCTTGTCTATAACTAAGAGCATTAAATCGCTGGAGCATTTATTTAGAATGCCTACTGATTTCTGTTTAAACTTCTCTGAGTCTAAGAATAAAGTGGGAGCCTTTTGGTATGCATTGATTTTTGTAGTATTCTGATAAAGACACAGCATGATGGTGCATTTTAAGCTTGCGTTTTTAAATAACCATGTATGCTGCACAGCACTCCTTGAAGGAAAGGTGGGCTGAAAAATAACTTAATACACATTCTTGCCATTTTGGTGCCTTGCTGTTACAAACATATGGGATTTTCATTGAAAGCTTGTGTAACAGTCATGCACAAGTTCTAAAGGATAATATATTCATATGCATCACATTGGTTTTGGGGAGCGGGTGGCACTGTGGTCTAAACCACCAAGCATCTTGGGCTTGCTGATTGGAAGGTTGGCGGTTTGAATCCCCGCAACGGGGTGAGCTCCCATTGCTCTGTCCCTGCTCCTGCCCACCTAGCAGTTCAAAAGCACACCAGTGCAAGTAGATAAATAGGTACTGCTGTGGCAGGAAGGTAAACGGCGTTTCTGTGCGCTCTGGCTTCCATCACGGTGTCTCATTGCGCCAAAAGCGGCTTTGTCATGCTGGCCACACTGGCGGAGGAAGAGGGGGGCAGGAGGAGCGCTCCACCCCCGGCAGCACGATCCCAGTGGGGTTCCATTGTGGCTGTCCCCCTGCCTGGGCTGGATGCCCCACCCCTGCAGGTGGCATGCCCCACCCCAGGATGCACGCCCCGCCCCTTTGGGCGGCACCCCCGCCTCCGGGCCGTGCGCCAGGCCTGCTACCGCCTGTTCTCCCCCCCCCGGTGCCAGAGCATGAAGCTCCACCACTGGCTGGCCACATGACCCGGAAAGCTGCCTGCGGACAAACGCTGTCTCCCTCGGCCTGAAAGCGAGATGAGTGCCGCACCCCATAGTCACCTTTGACTGGACTTAACTATCCAGGGGTCCTTTATCTTTACCTTTTACCTGCATCACATTGGTAGTCAAATTAATGAAATGGTACCTGCTTTTTAAAAAATTGTTTCAAGAATAAATCACATGTTCTTTGATTAATAACAACTGTCTCTACCTCTTGTAAATTTCTTCCAGTTCCTCTGTTTGTGCAGGGGTATGATAACACAGAGAAGCAAACATGGCAGTGTTATAAATAAAGATGGTCTGCTTTATTCACCCAGAGAATAGGAAAAAAGAAACAAAGGCCTGGCATTTCTTATAGCCCAAGCTATCACAAAATCACACAAGTCGGCTTCTAAGTAACTGAGATTTCAGGAAGAAGCATATTGGCATATTCTTGTGCAACAAACATACAGATTTCTGTTGACCAAATAATCTTTAAATTAAACCGTAGCTCAAAAGACACATTTCTGTCAGTCTTACTGGTAGTTAACATCTAAGCTTGGTGGCATTACAATGTCTGCTACATTTACCTTTCTTTATCAACCAACTGGTTCAATCAATAAAATGTTTATTTAATAGCTGAATGATTATAGTAAAGTACACATCACAGCCACCAATTATTTATGATTACAGGTAGCAAGCCAGGAGGTCTGAAAGATACTAGAACATTCAGATATGTTGTTACCTGTTGAGCAATAGATTTCTTAGACCTCTCAAGAAAGTTATTTAGAACTATCTCTTAAGGATCAACTAGGAAATTGCCTTATATAAATTTTGTGTTCTCTGACCCCTTGATAAAATCTGGACTGTTACAAGCTCTTTAGTGGTTGCAAGGACACTGCCTATCATTAAAGGAAACGTTGGCAAATCTGCCATATATAGTCCTAGAGGCCCAAACCTTTAAATATGCTAACGAAGCTGCTCTTCCATAATGCCATAGAATTCAGATATGGGCTCCACTTATTAGAGGCTGTGCATATGGCCTATAAGCATTGTGCATATGGCCTATAAGTTGACTCATGTCACTCTTGAGCATCCTTACACAGGCTTCCCCCCACATTCATGGGGGTTACCCTGCATGCGTAAGTGAAATCGTGTAGAGAGAGGACACCCCTCTTTAAAAAGGAGGGTGCGCAAGAGGACACAGAGAGAGAGACTCACCCTGGAAATCACTCAGGGCCGCTGACCTGCCTGTTCTGAGCCTGCCTGCCTCCAGGGAGCCGGTGTGTGCTGTGCAGCAGAGCAGCAGAGACGGGGAGATGAAGCCTCCTGCCCTGCGCCACCGGCTGATCAAAGGACGCCTTCCCTCGCTCAGAGTGAAGGAAGGCCACTCTATTTATTTATTCATTTCATGGCAACCAGTGAGAGAGTGGGGTGTGTGTGTGTGTGTGTGTGTGTGTGTGTGTGTCTGCATGTGTGTGTGCCTGAATTTCATTCTCTGTTTAACCCAAGATTACCTTGCACTATGGAAGGATTAATTCTTTGCAGGAGTGGAACAGACATTATGTAGCAAATGTGAAAGTGCCCGTCCTGCAGATTGAAGTGGTGGTGTGGGCATTTAGGGATAAGGCAACCCTTCAGTTAGACTGGCCCAAAGTTTTGAAGAGCTTTATATAGTAATAGCAACACCTTGAAATTGGCCCGGTAACCAGTTGCAGTCATTGCAGATCTCTGAACAATGGTGTAATATGCTGACAGGATATCGCTCCTCTCAGCTGTTACGCTGCAGTGTGTTGCTGTTCTGCTACCAAGTGCAAGGGAATTGCCACACGGAGTGTATTCAAGTCTTGAAGTTACCAGTGACTAGATTACTGTGATCGAATTATCCTGGTCTAGGAATGGGTGTTGCTGTCCTACCAGCCAAAGCTGATAAAAGGTACTCCTAGCTGCCGAGGCTACTTGGACATCAAGGGAGCAAGTTGGATCCAGATGCACCCACAGAAGCTCCTTCAGGGAGAGTGCAGCCTCCATCTAGGGCAGGCAACTGGCCAATTTCTCAGACACAGGAACCACTCACCCAAAGTGCCTCCATCTTGCCAGGATTCAGACTCAGTTTATTGGTTCTCATCAAAACGAGCTCAATTTAGGATTTAGGGCAGACAAAAGAAAATGCTTCTTCATGCAGCGCATAGTCAAACAGTGGAACTTGCAGTGATGACCACCAACTTGGATGGCCTCAAAAGAGGATTAGACAAATTCATGGAGGAGGAGAGGCCTCTCGATGGCTACTAGCCAGAATGACTATGCTCTGCCTCTGCAGTTGGAGGCGGCAATGAAGACGAGTCCCTGGAAATCTTGAGAGGGGGAGAGTTGCTCTTGTGCTCATGTTCTGCTCCCCAGGTTCACCAGGTACCTGGTTGGGAGACCAGGATACTGGACCAGATGGGATATTATGTTCTTGTGATGCAGGATCTGGGATGTGTCCAGAATTGGTGCACAGCTCTTGAAAGTACATCACACATCTGGGATATTTTCTCTCTCTTTGGCTGTTATTTGAAATGTTTCTTCCAAAATTCAGTTTCTGCTCTGTTGTACGCTTCATTCTTGATTTGTTTTTGCTTCCTTCCTATTCTGCACTCGCGTCTCTTCTCCAGGCATGATCCAGTATGGTTTCAGTATTCTTTCATTCCTCTAGGAAATGTATATTTAATGTTGGTATCCATCTACTATCCCTTCTTCAACTCTAACAGCTAAGGCAAAAAAACCAAACAATTTTTTTTAATAATTTAGCAATGTTTCCCGTAACATGCTTGTTGGAAATTACATGTACTCAGCTGGGATTTTCAGCATGATTTTTACTTGTCAAGATTCCTTTTATAATCCTGTTTTTCCCCTGATGTGTTTTTTGCCTGAATCTTAAGTGGCTAGCAGTCTGCTCTGTGTTTCAAAATATAACCACAGTACCACAACTTTTTTTAAAAATAGGGTGAATTTGCCTCACTTCTGGGGAGGCAAATCAGTGGGAGAACTAAAGATTTGGTTTTCTGAATTTTGTTTTTGATCCCAGGTCTGAATAGGGTTAGATCAGGCCCAAAATGATCTGAATTGAGTTGGTGCCTGTTGTGCCAGCACCCCCTGTTGTGCCAGCACCTGCCCCACCCTGAGGTCCTTTGGCTCTCCCCTGCCCCACCTTCCCACTCTGAGCAACTTGTACAGCTCTGAGCTAGGTTTTGGATGGGCATGTCAATAATTCCCCTGTATTCCTTCCACCGCCACAGATAACATTTATCTGAATATCCCACCCCAGCATAACCAAATATGAGGCATGCAGTATAATGCAATTAATTTAGCAAACAGAAATAATAAGCAAAGGTTTTGTGTGTGTGGTTTCAGCTTTTCTTTATCTTATTTGTTACTTTATCGGATACACAAAAACGGCTACTATAATAGTGATCCTGTACAAAATTATGGGCTCTGCCAAATCACGTCCACCACCATCTCTCACCCCCCGACTCCACTCTCATGTGTCTCACCCCAACATTCAGACTCCCTTTCAAGTTCTCCTTCATTCACCACTCATTCATTTGCCCACGTTCTAAGCTCATTCCTCCCTCACATTTACCTCAGTTCTTCTCATACACTTCCCTGCGCATTCACCTTAATTGCACTGCTATTTTATGCCCACACCAGAGCCTCCCACTCTGAATCCCCCAGTCGCAATCACTGAATCGGAGTTACTGTTTCATTGTGTTTTTTAATGTTATTGCTATTTTATGTTTTTATACTCTAAACCATCCTGTGATCTTCGGAAGAAGGGCAGTAAAATGAATGAATGAATGAATGGGGCTTACATATTTCTAGCTTCGATCTATCCAGGTCTTGGTTAGTGGGGAAGCAAAGTGCCCCCTGCCTCAAGCGCCTCCCCTTTGCGGGACTCTGCGCTCTCTGCAGCCTGAAGGCCACCTGCCCAGAGGCAGCACAATATTAAGAGCTGTCTGCCTTAAAGAAAAGAGAAAAGGCAAGATCCATGGCAAGTAGGGACTATGTCAAATGGTTCCCTGTATCTATGGCCTGCCCTTGAGGTTTTGCTACTCCTTTTGCTGCCACATTACACTTTCAAATTTATTTGTAGTTTATTCACTCTGAAAAGTCTATGATCCTTTGATCTTTGCAACTGTTGAGTACGTTAAATCTGAATTTTCTTTTTGGTCTTTTTACCACATGAAAAAGGATTTCTGCCTTTATTATACATACATGAGCTTAGCTCAGGGGACCCAATTTCCTCTTTTGTTTTCTCACTTAACAGGTAATCTAAAATTAGATCAACTGGGATCACATCAAAAGAGGGATGACTTTGTTGAAAGTAAATGTAATTCTGTCACCAATTCCAAATTAAAATTGTGTGTGTGTGTGCACGTGTGCGTGCGTTTTCATTACAGAAAAAGAAGAATTACCGTAATAAGGGAAAGCCACTTATCCAGACTAAGTTAACAATGATTAATCTGAACATCACCACTCACAAACTGATTATGGAACTGGAAGCCCACAGTTCAAGATGGCATCCAAAATGATGCCCCAAACTTATGCTTCCATTGCCATATAGGAGCTTGAGAGAAACAGTAAATGACTGAACTGAGATACCTACAAAATCATTAGAATACATATACAATTATACCAAAGCATAAAGTAAAGGTAAAGGTACCCCTGACCGTTAGGTCCAGTCGCGGACGACTCTGGGGTTGCGGTGCTCATCTCACTCTATAGGCTGAGGGAGCCAGCGTTTGTCCGCAGACAGTTTTTCCGGGTCATGTGGCCAGCATGACTAAGCCGCTTCTGGCAAACCAGAGCAGGGCACAGAAACACCATTTACCTTCCCGCTGGAGCTGGACCTATTGATCTACGTGCACTTTGATGTGCTTTCGAACTGCTAGGTTGGCAGGAGCAGGGACCGAGCAACGGGAGCTCACATCATTGCAGGGATTCGAACCGCTGACCTTCTGATCAGCAAGCCCTAGGCTCAGTGGTTTAGACCAAACCATAGTGCAATATAAATTACATAATCTATGCAGCAACCTTTATAGTCTTGTTAAAACATATAATGCTTTTAAATTATATTGTTCTGTAAAATACTTCATAGACTCACTTGGCATTCCAAAAAACATAGAACACAAAACAAAATATCACAGCTAGAAGCCTAGAGCTGACAATATTTTCTAATGTTTTATAATTATGGGTGTCACTGTAGCCTGCAGTTTGAGCCCCTCCCAAAAAAAGTTTCCAAGTTTTATTTAGTTTTAAAAAATAGAATGTAATTTTTAAAAGCTAACTGCTCCTACGGGTCCCTGCTACAATGCTGTGATGCCGAAATGTTTTTCTGTGGTCCTCTAAGACTCCACATTTATCCTTTGAAAAAGAGAGGCCATGCTCACTGTTGCACTTCAACAAGCAGCCCTTGGAGGGTTGACCATGGGTAAATGAGACCCCCTCAGACCCCCCAAAAAGAAAAGGGGAAAAACTACTGACTTGATCTTGATGTTGATACCAGGAAAGGTCCTCAAACAGATAATTAAACAGCTGGTCTTTGAACACTTAGAAAAGGAGGCTGATTACTAAGACCCAGCTTAGATAGATATATAGATAGATATAGATATACCCGGTAGAAAGTTACAAGCTTGGTGGATCAGGGGAATGCTGTGGACATTGTGTATCTTGATTTCAGTAAGGCTTTTGAAAGCAAATCAAATATCTTTAATACGGTCAATGACCAGGAAGCAATTTATAAAATATGACATTAAAAGTAGTATTGTGCTACAAGTAACAGTAAAAACATGGCCAATTCACAGAATTGGTGCTTATATTTATGACCAGGTTTCGAGTTTTAAGTTTTTAAAATTCAATTCAGGAGTCGCTACTGTTTATTATCGTTCCTTCGATGTTTACAGTTTGTACTCCTTTGTAGACATCATTGCTCGTCTTATTCTTGTTGCAATGTAACAGTACTTTGCCACGGACCTGTTAATTTCGGGCTCTTTGTCAGCTAAGAGGTGTCTGATATAGGTGTCGTCTGTACTACGAGGTATTTTCCTCAGAATCGGTTCGATCAGCTCTTTTCTTGAGTCTCGATATAATGGGCAGTATAAGATGACATGCCCAATGGTTTCGATTTCATTGCTGTTACAGGGACATAATCTTTGTTCGATCGGTATTTTATTGTATCTTCCCTCTAGAAGAGCTGAAGGGAGAGCGTTAAAGCGGGCCCTGGAAAATGCCCATCGGTGTTTAGCGTTGTCTAGAACTTTGAGATAGTTTGCTAGATGGGGCCTTTGGGAATTGTATAGAAGTTTATAAGTTATCGGAAGTTGGTTAAAGTCATTTTGGGTTTCAATGTCCCTGAGTCTTTCTTTGATTATGTTCTTGGCCCTTCCCCTTTCTAAACTTAATAAATACTCTGTGGAGAGACCATATGTGGCCAATTTTCTGAGGATGCCCTTCAACCAGCTAGATTGGAATTTGTCAAGAAGCATCAGGGAAAGTAATCCAACCGGCGAGTTGTTAAGTCTTAGCCAAGTGCATAAGGTTCTTATCCATACTTTGGCTTTAATGCTGTGTAAGCCCGCTTCCAGTCGTAAGGCGGCGTTTGGGACGCATTTAGGTGTTTGCAGGAGTGATCTAAGGAAGCCTGATTGTATCTTCTCATATGGGTCTAGATTAGAGAGGGAGACGAGTGGTGCGCCGTATAGGATTTGTGCTGTTGGTTTTGCAACGAATAGTTTAATTGTAGCAGGAATGAAATTTCCTCCCGTTGTACGATGGAATCTTAGGATTGCTGTTGTACTTTTTTGTGCTGTAAAGGAGCTGTAATTTATGTGGGCAGTCTTCTTCCTTGATGCTTGGAATATCACTCCTAGATATTTAAAGCATGTCACTTGTTCAGTCTCCTGATTGTCTAAATTCCATCTGTATATTTTCCTTTTGTTAGAGAAAACCATGATTTTTGTTTTTTTGGTAGTTCACTGCTAGTTTCTCTTCTCTACAATATTGGGATAAGCTGTTAAGAGCTCTTTTGAGGCCCATCTGAGTCTGGGACAATATAACCGCATCGTCTGCATAGAGTAGGATAGGCAGTTTTTGTCTGCTAATTTTGGGGCGTGTGTATCCGCTCCTTGTAGGTGATCTATTAGGGAGTTTATATAGATGTTGAACAAAAAGGGGGCCAAAATGCATCCTTGTTTAACTCCCTTTGTTGTTCTAATGAAATTAGAGAGTTGACCTTCTTGGCTGCATCTTATACGAAGTCGTGTGTTGTTGTACAGTTTGTATATTAGTATCAGCAGACGTCGGTCTATGGATGATTTGTTGAGTTTGTCTCAGAGTCGAGTTCTTGGGATGGAGTCAAAGGCTGCTTTAAAATCTACAAATGCTGCGAATAGGTGGTGATTGTGATGTGACGTGTATTTCTCAGCTAGGTGCTGTAAGATCAGGCAGTGATCCATTGTGGATCTCCCTTGTCTAAATCCTGCCTGTGCATCATCAAGAATCTTCGCTTTTTCTATCCATTCGCACAGTTTCTCGCTAAGGTGTTTAGCGTATAATTTACTTATTATATTCAGGAGGCTTATAGGTCTATAGTTGGAGGGATCATCCCTCGAGCCTTTTTTGTAAATGGGAATAATGATGGAAGTCCCCCAGTCGTATGGGATCTGTGCAGTTCTATCTATATATGTGAACAGAGAGGCAAGCAAGGGGGGCCCACCAGTTCGCATTGGTTTTAAATAGTTCCGCTGGTATACAGTCAATTCCGGGGGCTTTCCCATTCTTTAGTTGGTCAATCAGCAGATGGGTCTCTGTTAATGAGACTGCTGGCCATGGCTGTATCTGATCATCCGGTATGTCTAATGCATAGGACTCATCGCTAGATTCCTCGTAAAGATTATGGAAGTGCATTTCCCAGGCTTTCATTGATATGCAGCAGGATAGTTGTGATAGGCCCCTATCCGGCTGTACAGCTACGATTCTCCAGAATAATGATGGGTTACTTGATTTGGAGGCCTCTATCAGTTGCTGCCATAATAGCTTCATTGCGTATCTTTTCTTTTGTGTCAGAAGTTTTTGGCTTCAAGCATCTTTTGTCTGTTGTCCTCTGTTGGATTATCCTTATGGCAGATGAAGGAGTGGATCAATGATTTCTTGGAGGTTATACACTCGTGATCGAACCACTCCCTGGAAGTTTTCCGACGGTGGGGAGACTTGGAATTCGGTTTTACAACAAACTCTTGAATTTTTTGTATAAGCATTTCATATGTTGTCATCATGTTCGGGGCGCTCTCCTCTATTTCTAAGCACCCTTCCATAATTGCTTTTGAGAGACGGTAGCTCTCCTCAGTTTTATACCAGTTAGATATCCGCTCACTCACTTGTCCGTTCCATCTGATTTTCTTGAGGCCTGTTCCGGGTGTTAGATCTGGTTGATATCTGCGTTGTGGTTTGGGCAGATCAAAGGGTAAATTACACACGAGGGATAAAGGTAGATGATCACTTTCAGCTCTTGCTGTAATGGTGAATTTTGATATCCTAGGGATCAGGTCCTGGGAGACAATGCAATAGTCTATCGTTGACAGTTTGTGTCCTGACCAATATGTGTATTGACCAGGATAATCTCCTTGTATAGCCCCATTCAGTAAGTGTAGATTCTGTCTGTAGGCCATGTGTGCTAAATGTAGCCCTCCAATGTTGCATGTCTTATCGTAGGATGATCTTCTCATTAGGGGTGGGATAGTTTCCATTTCTGGAGGCCATTGGTGAAAATATGCATATAGGGCGTTGTCGTTAGGGCCCACTCTTGCGTTTAGGTCACCAGCTAGTAATATCATGGCTGACGGGTGTTGTCTCCTCCATTGCACCACGTGGGCTTCCACTTCTTTCCATAGTTGGGCTTTTGAAAGCGTTTCCCATGATATTCTTGCAGAGAAGCTGGTAAAATGTGGGCTGGGTGAGGTAACTGTTATGTGGATTTGTAGCTAATTGACTGACTGAACCCAAAGAGTGCTCAACTAATGGTTCCTCCTTATCCTGGGGGAAAAGTGACAAGTGGGGTGCCGCAGGGTTGTGTCCTGGGGTCATTGTTGGTCAATGTCTTTATAAACAACTTGGATGAAGGAATTGAAGGGGTGCTCATCGAATTTGCATATGACACCAAACTGGGAGGGGGAGCTGATGCCACAGGAGACAGACTTGGGATTCAAGATGACCTTAATAGATTGAATTTCAGTAGGGCCAAATGTCAGGTTCTACACTTAGGCAGGAAGAACCAGCTGCACAAATATAATATGGGAGACACCTGGCTTGCCAGTAGTCCATGTGAAATGGATCTAGGAGTATTAGTAGACCACAAGCTGAACATGCGTCCACAGTGTGATGTAGCAGCAAATCTTTTTTTATTTTAAATATGCTATTCTAGGCTGCATCAACAGAAATATAGTGTTCAGGTCAAGGGAAATAACAGTAGTACAGTGGTACCTCGGGCTAAGTACTTAATTTGTTCTGGAGGTCTGTTCTTAACCTGAAACTGTTCTTAACCTGAAGCACCACTTTAGCTAATGGGGCCTCCCGCTCCCGCCGCACCGCCGGAGCATGTTTTCTGTTCTCATCCTGAAGCAAAGTTCTTAACCCGAGGTACTATTTCTGGGTTAGCAGAGTCTGTAACCTGAAGTGTTTGTAACCTGAAGCGTATGTAACCCAAGGTACCACTGTACTCTATTCTGCCTTGGTCAGACCACACATGGAGTCTTGTGTCTACTTCTGGGCACCACAATTTAAGAAGGATGTTGATTGCAGCTCTCTGTGAAAATCAACTCCACCCTTAAAAGCTGGTCCATTTTGTTGCTCTCTCCCAACTTGTTGAGACAAGATATCTGCTATTTTCTCTCACACATCTCCGCTCATCCTGTAAATAGTTCCTGCATGAATAAAGCCTTTGAACTCCAGAGACTTCAGAAATTGTAAGTGATTATTCTAATCTAATTCACCCAAGCTGCAAGATCTGCTAGCACATACACACCGTACAATTTATGCACATGTCTGCACATCCAAGAATCCTGGCAGCCCACCACTCTGTCCACTACACCATGCTGCCTCTCCATAGTTTTCTTAATCTCCACCTGACAATTTTCGCAGCACTAGCTATCTTGCAGGTCAAAGTACTTGATAAGCATCCTTAAGTAAACCTTGAAGTGATTATTTCAGGCATAATCCAGCCAAGCCGACCCCCTCCTCTGTGCCAGTGATAAAGCAAGTTAACTGAAATTTGTAACCCTATAAATAATAGAGAAAACATGTCCACAATGTATTTCCACAATGCTTTTTTGAGTTGAGGGTTGTATGACCGTTGTTGGCTGGTTGCTTTCAGTTCTTCCACACACATGTATTAAAAGCATCTCTCCTGAAGCTCACTGCATGCACTAATCCTGTGTACACAGGGTGGCCTTTCACTGATGTGTACCCAACAAAGCTCAGAGAGGCATATTCCAGACGTACTGTAACAAAACTCTGTCAGTGCCAAATGTTTACTTCAGTAATTGTGGCACGGATGTGTAAATAAAAATTGCTGTAGTGGCTTCAATAGTAATGAAATCTTCTTGATATATTTAGGGTGAATACTGTACTGCATTTAGCAGTGTTTTCTAAAGATATTTAAAGTAGCGTTTGTGAATGAATGGATGCAGAGAGGGAGGGGTGTGTGACATGCAGAAAGTTAAAATGCAAAGCACTATCTTCTGATTGGCTCATGGAAAGTGGATACTGTAGATATAAACTAGCAACTGCATCCTCTGGTCTTTATAACTGTCACAAAGAAAGCAGACGGGTAAAAGAGAGAGAGAGAGAGAGAGAGAGGACAAAATCTCACCAACAGTAAGTAAAAGTCCTAACTTTCTAAGCTTAAATAGTATAGAAATGGCACCTTAATGCACCATTTAATTGTACACTATCCCAGGACTTTACTGAAATAGTCAGTAGAGAGAGTAAATGGCACACATGCATGTGTGTGCAGATACACATATCAATTAAAATTTTTTATTAACATGTCAAAATTGTCATGCTGTTTTTTTATACACCTGGCATGCGCATGTCTCTTTGAGGTTGCATAATATGACAAAATAGACTTGAAAGGTGCTGATCCTATGTGCATTACATGAAACTGCTATTGCAAACACATGTGTCTTCAGCATAATATTTGGGCTCAAAATATAAATACTGTTCATGTAACTCAGTCTCTATATTAAAGCAAAAATCCTGGTTAGCTGCACTGACAGTCAATGAGGTGGCTAAAACAGGCACTTAATTCTTAGAAATAAGCAACAGATCTTAAAGGATCCGTTCTATAGGAACTGAAGCAGAACCCATCCTTATTTATATGAAAATGACAAATACAAAGTTTCAGCAAACTTACTTAAGAGGGTTTACTATATATACAGTCTATAAATGTCTATAAGCCAGAAGAGGGGTGGAGGGAAGTTAATTCTGATATAGATTTTAAGGAGAATACTATTGTTAAGCTGTATTGTGTTTAAGATATTTGAAAAAAAATAATAAAAATTATGGGGGGAGGGGAGTTTCAGCAAACTTTATTAGTATTTTTGTTAGTATTAATGTAGGGCATAAACCCGCCAGCTATTTTAAATGATTTTGTTAAATTGTATTATATCATTAAAAACAAACAAAATAATTATGTAGTATAGTTATTGATTTCAAAGGGGGAAAAAATGCATAAAGTTGTATTTGATCTTGAAATTTACTCTTTCGGTGCATAGTAAATGAAATTAATTCCCCAGCAAATCTGTCCCCGTGTGTCTGTTCTTTGGCTCTCTTCTGTTACAGTAGCTCAGTCAGTTACAGCCCAGACTGGGTTTTTTTTAACCATTTGTTTAAATGTGATTATGTCTGAGTTATTTCCAGTAAAAAGCCGCTCATATTTTTGCAGTTGTTAGTAAGCAAACTACTAATTCAGGATTTACACATGCCATAGAATCTGTTAAATATTCCAGTAACACTATATTTCAGGAGCACCTGCCTTATCTTTCAATATTTCCAAAATTTGCTTCCAAAGAATGTCAATTAAAGTACATGAGATGTCCAGACAGTAGATGAGATCACCAAGAATTATCATGCTGCAGAAAAATAGGCATGCTTTAATTTTAGGAGAATCAAGTACCAATGCAGCTATCTTTTGTAAGTTTTCTTTCATATTAATGTGAATCGGGTTTCCAGTCACATTTCACCATTTCGATACTCTAAATGAAGATATTTACTCCATTTCAGTTTCTCTCTTTGTATTGATTAAACACATCTAAAGCAAAAGTAGATACGTTTTTTCCCATTAGACCTTTCAGTGTAATTTGTGTTAGCCATGTTGTTTTCAAGATGATTTTTAACTTTCATATATACATTCAATGCAATCTTGAATTGCATTGAATACTTGGCTAGTTAGTCTTGTTCTTAACTTTCTAAAGGATGAGACTGAAATGACTATTCAGTACCTTGTACACTTCTAGCATTTTAATACATTTCTAGCTGGCCACAGAGATGGGATAGTTGACCCAATTGATGGTTTCACTTAGACTTCTTATGACTCAGGCCAAAGGCCCCTTCTTCCACATCATGTTGTTATGTGTAGCCCAGTTCCTTTGAAAGGAGGTCACTGAAGACTTATTGGTATTTTGTGATACAAGCTTTATTTACACATCTAGACAGGCTGATTGAGGATAGGTGTTTAAGTCCAACAGATGCCCCAAAGTTTAGTTCATCATACCACTAATTCATAAAAGCCCAAAGGGCTTTACTCCAATTTACACCACTTCCTCTGCAAAACTCACAATGCCCTTGTTGCAGGAACAGTTCCAGGATTCGGTGAGATTTAAAGCCAGAGTACTCCAGCGCAACAATAGCCCTTTTCAGCTATTACACATGCCACATTATACCCATTCTACGTGCACAAGAAATCAACTTTTAAGTGTTGCAGGACCTATGCTTTGGAACTCCCTGCCTGTTGATATTATGGTGCCAGCTAAAAACATTATTGTTTAGACCAACCTACCCAGATAGGTAGAAGACTGATTTGTGTTTTACTTTGCTTTTAGTTTATTGCTGATTTTAATTTTTTAAAATATTTTAAATGGTTATTTTTAAATTCTTTTTGCCAATACTTTTGTTTAATTCTTTTTGTAAACTGCTTTGAGGTGTGTGCTTTTTCCAATCAAACATTATATACATTTTATTAAATAAGTAAATAAATAAATAAAATATGTGTATGTGTAACCACTCACAATCTAAAAGAATTATCTGATTTAACAAATGGATAATAGTGGATAACTATTATATAATAACTGGGACGCAGGTGGTGCTGTGGGTTAAACCACAGAGCCTTGGGCTTGCCGAACGGAAGGTCAGCGGTTTGAATCCTCGCGACGGGGTGAGCTCCCGTTGCTTGGTCCCTGCTCCTGCCAACCTAGCATTTCGAAAGCACGTCAAAGTGCAAGTAGATAAATAGGTACCACTCCGGCGGGAAGGTAAACGGCATTTCCGTGCGCTGCTCTGGTTCGCCAGAAGCGGCTTAGTCATGCTGGCCACATGACTCGGAAGCTGTACACCGGCTCCCTCAGCCAGTAAAACGAGATGACCGCCGCAACCCCAGAGTCGTCCACGACTGGACCTAATGGTCAGGGGTCCCCTTACCTTTACCTATTATATAATAATGGGTAACTATTATATAATAAAGGATAACAAATAAAATAATAGTAAATTGAGGATGATTTCTACATAAATTACCCACATTTGTAATTAAGCTATCTTCCTGTGTATCATCTAGATATAGCAAGCAACCCATTTCTTTAAAGCCCCAGAACTGAGTGAAGGAGGTAGCTGTCTCTAGGATTCCGTTTCGGAGTATTCTGGGGGGGGGGGGAGGGCATTGCATGTAACTTTGTGCAGTAAAACTGGAACAGGGCAGGATTTACTTCTGAGTGAATGAATCTTGATCAAGAACTATTGCAGCAGTATGATTGACTGCAATACTATTGAGGGGGACCCCATTACTTTAAAAAGTATACAACTTGTTGTTTTGTATGACACTATATTGCACTGAATATTTTTTTAATTCAACCCCTCTCCCCGGTTTTTCCTTTGGAAATTTCCCTAAAAGCTTTCACATTTCTGACTCCGTTCCTTTTGATTCCAGGCTCTGCCCTGGGATCATTTTTGTTGTTGTATTTTTCAGTATAGTAGTTGACAACCTGATTTTTGTATGCATAAGACTTCACTTATGAGGAAAATTGGCCAATTCCAGGTGTGCAATTTTTTCAAATGCCAATTTGTTTCTTTTAGAGTCTGAAATCTTGACATGGATGCCACAGAGTTCCGAAAAAGAGGAAAAGAAATGGTGGACTATATTGCAGATTACCTGGAGACGATAGAGAAAAGACGGGTCTATCCTGATGTGGAGCCCGGGTACCTGAGACCTCACATCCCAGATTCTGCTCCTGAAGAACCTGAGAGATTTGAAGATATCCTTAAAGATGTTGAAAAGATCATTATGCCTGGGGTAAGATCAAACTGCAGATGAGCTTTAAAGAATGGGCTTGTCTACATGGGAGGTTTACTGTGTGTTTACAGCTGTTTGCATTCTATTTAATTTGTGTAGTACATGTGTCGTCAGCCTCAGACAACAGCAGTCCCGATGCTTTCCTGCTGTAAATTTGAGTTTTCCCAACACAGGGATAATCTGTTAAATTGGGAGAAATCAGGCCACGAACCACTCCACCTGGAGCCTCAGACAATTAGCTGTGGTGGTTTTGGGTGGGTGGATCACTTGTCACTCTCTGTTACTTCCCTTTCCAAATTCACTACTTCCCCAATGCTTTAACTTCCTTTCCAGCTATGCTCATGACTATATCTGGCATGATCCTGAATGGACGACTGTAGCTGTATATGTATATGTATACATATGTGTGTAGTTCCCTCAGATATGTCTCAAACCAGAAAACTACACAAGCAAATAGAGTGCTGAGTATTTACAATTGCCTGACTCTGTGCTTTTGCACCCTTCCTGGGCTGGGAATTTAAAAACAAGAGAACGCCCAAGGTGTGCGCATCGCTATCCATGCACATGACCTGTTGGTCCTCAATCAGCATAATGGTATCAACAAATCACGGACTCTTCAAGTGTCCCTATTTTCCAGGAACAGTCCCAGATTTACAGAAGCCATCCTGGTTTCTGATTTGATCCCAGAATGTCCCGCTTTTCATTAGGAAGTCCCTACTTTCATAGGAGAAAAGTTGGAGGGTTTGGAAATATGCAAACCCCAAGCCAAGGAGATAAGTAACTGTACAACCTTTAGAAGACGGCCCTCTATAGGGAAGTTTTTTCATGTTTAATGTTTTGTTATGTTTTTATACATGTTGGAAGCCGCCCAGAGTGGCTGGGGCAATCTAGTCAGATGAGCGGGTATATTATTATTATTATTATTATTATTATTATTATTATTATTAGAATAGGACATCCCTATTGTCATCCGAGAAATGTTGGAGAGTATGAAATCAGAAGACAAGGACAAACAGAAAAGGGAACCTGTACAATATTTGTATCTGCTGGTACAAATGTGAAAGACCCAAGTAGTTCCTTATTTACAAATTCAATATACTGTATGTGGGACAGCCCTACACAAAGATTGCAATAAAAAATGGTAATATGGCTAAGATTACCCACAGCAGAAAAATGGAAGACTTTGCACAGTCTACAAATATATCTGTGGTATAAAAATGTCTGGAACCTAGACATGGCAGAATACAATTCACAATATAAAGCTTTCCAAAGGCTTTGAAGATCCAGAATGTTTTTATTCTGTGCAGCAGGACTTTATCCAGTGCAACTAATCTCTAGGTCACTATGGGGCTACCAATGTGGGAAATGTGGGTCTCTTAGTGTTTCTTCAAACAGGTGTCCTCTTACATCCAGTTTTGTTGACAAATTAAGAAAATGGCTACATGGCCATCTTTGTAATAAAATTCAGGGGGAGAAGGGGGGAATGTTGGGAAAAATAAATTAAACCATTCACATGCAACAACGGCAAAAAAACATCAAATACATCAAATACATGTAAGTGTGGACTATTTCAGTCTAATTTGAAGGGGGGAAAGTGGATTAACAAATAATGTTCAAATGTGGACAAGTCCAATATGAATTAATTTTTAAATAGCTGTAACAAAGTTCTTGAGGCAATAATTCTGATCAGTAGTGACTTGTCCATATGAGAATGGCTCTTCCATATCTGTAGAAATTGCCTCAGCACATGAAATCTGTCATACTCCAATTTTGCGATCCAGTACCAGAAAAAGGCAGTGTAGAGACTGCAAGTCATGTCAGAGTGCCCTGGGAAAGCCATAAATCATCTACTACTAGATATGATCTTCAGTGAATGGAAAGCAGGTAAATTAAAGAACGGGAGGGTCAGCGGGCACAAACTCAGCCTCTCCCCCAACTCCAATATAGGTAAAGGTAAATGTACCCCTGCCCGTTTGGGCCAGTCTTGCCAGACTCTAGGGTTGTGCGCTCATCTCACTCTATAGGCCGGGAGCCAGCGCTGGCCGGCAGACACTTCCGGGTCACGTGGCCAGCGTGACAAGCTGCATCTGGCGAGCCAGCGCAGCACACGGAACGCCGTTTACCTTCCCGCTAGTAAGCGGTCCCTATTTATCTATTTGCACCCGGGGGTGCTTTCGAACTGCTAGGTTGGCAGGCGCTGGGACCGAGCGACGGGAGCACACCCCGCCGCGGGGATTCGAACCGCCGACCTTTCAATCAGCAAGTCCTAGGCACTGAGGCTTTTACCCACAGCGCCACCCGCGTCCCTAACTCCAATATAGAAAATGCCATCTATGCTGAGCTGGTGTCAGAGCCAATGAGTGTGAAAGTGATTGTCCCTTTGACTTTCTCCATAATCCGCCTCTTTGCAGACTGTTCTCTTTTGCTTCATCCTGCAAATAGCCTGAAGGAGGGTCACATTTGATTAATCTCTTCAGAATGTGTCACTGACTTAAGTATTATTGCACAGGCTGATCAAGATAAACAGCTTCTGCTGCCTCATCCAAAGCATCAGTCGGCCTCACAGGGGTCTGTGGTCAGCAGCTCCATTTCTCAAGCCCTTGACATTTCCTGGATTTCTTTGTAATAACTGCCCTTTTCATTCAAATATCAGACTGAAGATCTTCTCCCCAGAAGCACCAAATGCGCTTCATATAGCAATTTGTAGGGTTTGTTTTGCATTTCTGGTTTCAAACTGAGATAAAGAAAGGATGTATTTGCAGCACCTGGGGGGAGGGATTTTTGGAGATGAGCGCTGCAACCCCAGAGTCGTCCGCAACCGGACTTAATGGTCGTGGGTCCCGTTACCTTTACCTTTACCACAGCATACATTTGTAGCACATGACTTCCCCCAAAGGATAATGGAAACTGTAGTTTACTCCTCACAGAGCTATAATACCCAGCACCCTATAGTCCATATAAACTCAATAGTCAGTAGTAAATTTATAGTCAATATAACATAGATTTAGATTATTTAGATTTAGATATGAACCAACCCAGACTCTGTAATCTTCATCTGAGGTCCTCCTTCTTCCAGGCTATTGGCTGATTAAACAATCAAGGGCCTGTGTTTTGCTGGGGGTATTGTTCTGTTTGTTGTTATTTGTTTTTAAACTGTAAAGCACCCGTGATCCTTGGATGAAGGGTGGCGTAGAAATCTAATAAACAAAACAATTCTTCACTCCTGCTTCTTTTCCTGATGTATGCCTGCTTCTGGTCTTTCCGGCAGGTGACTCACTGGCACAGCCCCTACTTCTTTGCCTACTACCCAACGGCCAACTCCTTCCCAGCTCTTCTGGCTGACATGCTCTCTGGGGGCATAGGGTGTATTGGGTTTACATGGGTAAGTGCGTTCCACCCCTCTCTGCTGGGTTACCTAGGGGACAGGCGACATGCGCAACCTTTGCACCAGGCAGGCAATTCACCCTGCAGGCACCCTGCCAACCACACACCCAATTATTTGTGTTCCTAATTATCACCCACTACCAATGCCTCCCGTACCCATGGCCTGGAGACCCAAGTGTTTTATTGTGTTTTATTGTTGTGAACCACTTCAGGTTTTTGTTTTTGTTTTAATATAGAGATATATAAATATTTTAAAACACGCAGATTAAGATTGAAGGAGTTTAGCCTGGAGAATATATGGTTAAGAAGTGATATAATAGCCATCTTCAAACATTTTAAGGACTGTCATATAGATGATGGAGCAGATTCATTTTCTGTTGCTCCAGAGGATAGGGCATGAGCTGTTTGACAGTGGAACAGACTGCCTTGGAAGGTGCTGGATTTCTCTTTGTGAGAGACTTTTAAAGCAGAGATTGTGTGGCCAACTATCAGGGATGCTATATTTGTGGGTTTCCTGTATTATAACTCTTTGTATAAATATTGAGGAGAAGCTACCACACTCCTGTAGTTTCTTTTTACCACATTTCTCTATTTTAGGCATCAAGCCCAGCTTGCACAGAGCTGGAGACAGTCATGCTGGATTGGCTAGGGAAGATGATCAATTTGCCACCATCATTTCTGGCCGAGAAGGATGGAGAGGGGGGTGGCGTGATCCAGGTAAGCTGGAAGCTTGTGGTCTTAGTTTCTGCATGGTGTATGTTCTGCTCAAACTGGATTGAAACTGATATGTATCTTTCATTTTTTTGGGATAATATATGGGCATAATGGTTCCCCACAAAGGTGCAGAAGACATGCCATCACGCTTTCAAGTCATCATCTGATATCTGAGGAATGAAGACACTATGCCTGTGTGAACCATTCCTGAAACTCCTGGTTACCCCTGTGAAAACCTAGTTGGGATAATGTTCTATGGAAATATGGATTTGTATATGTAACCTGCCTTTTACCTGAAGGTCCCTAGTGGAGTGGCATACACCTAAAACAAACAAAATTAAAACACACACAATTAAACCAATTAGACACAAATTTACAAAGTTCATAAACCTTCCTCTCCAAAATCCTAGGCAAAAAGGTGTGTTTTCAATGACAATGAAACAACAACAGTGTTGTGGGTGAAACGTACCTCGGAGGGATGGTTGTTGCAAAGGAATCAAGACTTTAAAATGAGCCCAGAAGACAGGAGATTGTTCAAGACTGATGTTATGCTGGGGCACCCTACTAGTACCCTGGTTGCCACATTTGGTACCAGATTCAACTTCCAAACTGGTTTCAAGGATTTTGTTGTTGTTGTTTAGTCGTTTAGTCGTGTCCGACTCTTTGTGACCCCATGAACCAGAGCATGCCAGGCACTCCTGTCTTCCACTGCCTCCCGCATTTTGTTCAAACTCACTTTTATATGCCTGTTGTCTTTGTCCACGGAGTTTTCTTGGCAGGGATACTGGAGTGGCTTGCCGGTTCCTGCTCCAGGTGGATCATGTTTGGTCAAAACTCTCCACTATGACCTGTCCATCGTGGGTGGCCCTGCTCGGCCTAGTTCATAGCTTCTCTGAGTTATTCAAGCCCCTTCGCCATGGCAAGGCAGTGATCCATGAAGGGGGTTTTCAAGGATAGCCCCATGTAAAAGAACACCAACAATACAATCGGAAGTTACCAGAATGTGGATGATTGTAGCCAAGCTCTCTCTCCTCAGGTGGGGCACTAGATGGTGTACCTGCTGAAGCTGAGCATCAGCACTCCTAGTTCCTGAAGCCACCTGCGATGGCACCAGAGTTATCCTCAAGCTATGCACCTGTTCCTTCAGGGGAAGAGCAACCTGTTGTAGAAGAACTTATCCCTCTTTTAGCTGAGCCAATTGTTTTAGATGCTACTCTGGCTATTTGGATAAACAGCTGTAATCAGGGCTTTTCTTCTGCCGAAACTCAATGCCGTTGACATTATAATAGAACAAGGGAGGTGTTTGCGGTGAGTTCTGGCACCTCCTTTTCTAGAAAAATAGCACTGGTTGTAATAACTTTGCCCTTTTTAATGGCTAGTTGGAATTCTAGAACTGTACAGACCAGCACAGACCCTGCCCCCAATCCCACAGTGTTAAATCTGGAATAACTGCTTGAACACTTGCTAGCTGCTGAAGCCTAATGTCAGGATGAATTGCTTTTACATGTAGGGTGCAAATGTTGTTTTACTTCACCCCACCATAGCCCTAGTTTTGTGCTGAGGATCAATGAGCAATTATGTCTATTTGCCAATGGGAAATGCTGCCCTTTTAAGCTGACAATTCTTGATGGACTATAATTTGGGGGCACTGAGAGTGGGTGGTGTCCGTGCTGCTGGTGGAGATGAAGCAATTTGTAGTGTTGGTCTTCTTGCCTCATTCTTGTATCAATAATGATAAAAACAAGAAAGAACATGGCGGAGATGGGCTTTATATTAGACTGCCAATCAAATGAATATTGCAATATTGGCCTGTGGAAATGGGTGCTTAATTACCCTTAAAGGACCAAATCAATATGAAATTATCCTGCTGCCTCAAAGGTGACACTTGAAAAATCCAAAGACGAAAGGAAATTTCCGCTTGGGGCTCTGTTTGACTCACCAATGCTTCTGTCGCCTCTTGAGGCTGCTCACCATGGTAACCTTTGTTTGCTTGCTGTGAAGTAAAAAGTATAATAGCCAGCTTACTTAGTATGTGTATCATAAAAACCATCTTTCCCAGCAGCGCATTCAATGGGGGCGCCTCAGTTTCTCCACTCTGACATTTTATAGAGGCCTGATCCAGCCATAATTACACAGCTAAGACCCACTGATTTCAGTGGGAGGGATTTAAGCAAGTGCTTAATGGCCTCTGAAATCAATAGTGTTAAAAAATGCTTAACTTTAACTACATTTAAAGTGTTCCTTGTCTCTATGCCTGTTGGCCTTCTCCTCCTGGAACTGGCTGAGGGTGCTTTCCCTCTAAACCAGAGCTCCAGCCAGCAAACCAGACGTCTGCAGCAGAGAGAAGGAATTCCTAATGTTGTGAATATGAGTGGGGACAGACTCCCCATAATTTCTGCATTCAGTGGATGGTCAGAGTTTGAGTAGACTCCTGAATTTAGCAGGGGCTGGGAATAACACTCCTAACTTCCCCAGGCTTTGCCAGGTGTAGAGGGAGCATGATGTCACCCCAGGAAAAGAAGGTGTCCATTTCCAGCAGATGGTTGGGGAGAAGGAGCAGGAAGTGGGCACAACCTCATGCGGGCAGCAGTCATGCTGGCTGCCTGGATCAGGCGACTGGGCTGCTGCGAAGGACAAGTCCCTCTTGGGACATACATGCTGTGAACCCTCTCTCCGTAAATTCAGGTTTAAAAGTGTGAATAAGCCATATTTCCAAGACACAGCAGACTCTGCTGCACCTTGATTTCCCCACAGAACCACAACCCTGGGGGAGCGCCTGGAACCTCCTGGAATCTTGCTGCCATTCAGCAGAGACTGGGGGTGGAGTGCAAGGCTGTTCTGAATGCTGCTAGACCACAAGGGTTAGCAGAAGCCATAGTGGAAAAAGAACGTGTGTCTTTGTGTCAGAAAGGCACAAGCGGAAGGTCCCAGGTTCCATCTACGATGGCATCCCCAAGGAGGCCTTGGAGAGACTCCCTGCCTGAAATCCCGGAGAGCCATTGCTGCCAGGCAGTGTAGACCGACTGAGCCAGGTGCAGCTGTGCTCTGGCCTCGCGGAGGGAAGCTTCCTCGGTTTCTAAATTGCTTTCCACAAGAAATGCCTGTTTAATGAGGTGCTTCCGGCTGTGCTTCCTTTCCCCTGGCTTGCAGCACCCTAAATCTTCAACATGTTCTCTTCAGCTCACTGGATCTTCTGCCACTGTCCCGACTCACTTTCCATTGGCTTGTCCTGCCCAACTGAGCCTCTCTCTCCTTCCCTGCAGGGCACGGCCAGCGAAGCGACCTTGGTTGCACTGCTTGCAGCTAGAACCAAAGCGATCCAGCGGGCGCAATCAGAAAACGGAACGCTGACTCAGGGAGACATCATTGGCCGGCTGGTGGCTTATACCTCGGACCAAGTGAGTATTGAGACTCTCTGGAGCAGGAATCGCCAGCCCAGCACCTGCAGCTGCCACAGTGCCTGCCAAGACCTTCAGTGGCATCCATAGGCAGTGGCCCTCGACCCTGAGCTTTCATATAGACATAGATATATAGACATACAGATATAGATATAGTTTTGTACCTGCTAAAAATTAAGTTATGAAGCAAAAAGTACAGGCACCCTTTTAAGCAATTTCTCTGATGGCTGCTCCCACCTGTCTGTGTTTTCGCCGATGTGTGAAGTCAGAGCTGTATAAATGAGTTCTTTGGACACCTGGCAATGGGAATCACTGGAGTCCTAAAGAGCTGCTGTTTCTCTCTCAAGGGATGTTCCTGCTTCTGTCTTATTTTCCATAAGTCCTTGGAATCGCCATAGTTTCCCCTTCCATCCCTGCCCCTGGCAACCAGAATGGGCCTTTCCTATGGTGGGTCATCTGAGACCAGGTAGTCCTTTGAAGCTGTTTTCTGCATATAGAATCCCCGCTCCACACAAAAGGCAAATATGAAAACCTGTGAAGAGGCTTAGATATACTTCCACCTGTACAGGAGCTTGAGACCATACACCTGTTAACAACTGTATAGTCAAGTATGCACCTCTATTTGTAATTTGCTCTCTTTGTTTTAAAGGGGACTTACCCCCAGGTAAATGGGAACAAGATGCCAACCTAGGCTTTGGTTTAGAATTGGGGGATACAGGCTTCTGAATACAGGGTTCTTATGCCTTTAACAGCTCTATAATAGGCAGAAATTCCACAGGTTAAGTCTTTTCTAGGATGGAAATAAAATTATGGGAAAAGCCTCACCATGACTGTGCTAATTTTGTTTCATGTCATGCCTCTCGCTTGGTAGTCATATTGAGTTATTCCATGCCCCAGTGGCAGCCATTTTTTGACTCTTTCAACATTCAGAATATGTCCACTGGTCCAAAAAATTTGGGTTGTGACATAATGAATGGTATGAAAACTAGTCCTACTCTGATAGACCTATTGAAATGAATGAACATGGCTAACTTAGGTTCATTAGTTTCAATGGGTCTACTCTGAGTAGGACTTAATTGGCTACCACCAATTTTCATCCACACACTGGCTTTTGAAGTGGCTCCTTGGGAATGCACAAGCATACTTTTAAGCAAGCGTGTGAAATTACCTACTCTTTTCTTGTAGAAAAAGAAGCTGGTGCAGGTGGGATATAAGGTTTAAGGTCACAGAAACAGGACCCTTATGTATGCAATGAAGCTTTTCTCCTGTTCTTTGAATTCCTCCTGGGCAGCCCCAGCCACGCAGCTTGAAATCAAGTGCACCTGCCCCCCCCAACTTTGGACTGTAAATGCCTGATCCTCAATAAGGGATGACAGTCATACTTGCCTGCTGAAGGTCAGGGGATTTTTATTTTGTCTGCACAAGGATTTGCCTTAAGATGTTTCTGACCTTTTAAGGCAGCCTGTTGCTGAGCTCACAGCTCCTTCTGCATTAAGTTCATAACTGGGTGACTCAGTAATCCAAAAGGAGAGACAGAAAATCCAACCTAAGGATAAATATCAGGTTTAACAAAGGTAGATGGTTTGGGAGAATTCAGGAATATGATAAACAGGATTGCTTTCTTTCTCTCTGAATATGGTTGCATCCTTAACAATATTTGGAGGAAGGGCACGTGTATCTGTACTCCAGTTTCTCACGTGTCACGTTTTTGCTCCATCTGAGGCAGATCCACCTGCCCCTTTTAGGCCGCCTCCTCTGAGCATCTCCAGCTAGTGGTTTCTAGCCTATACCAGGTGGCTTGGCCAGTATTTTGGGGTTGTATCTTACTCAGAGTAGACCTATCAAAGTTGCAAACATGACTAACATGCTGCAGATGGGAGACTGAGACTCGGATTTATTTGCCTGTCTTCTTTTTAAAAGAGGTGTTGTGTTCTACAAGTTTAAACTTTAACATGTTTTGTCTGTGATGGCTCTTCCCTTTTTTAAATAATTAATTAATTAATTTTTTAACAATAAGAACACTTGTGTGAAGTAATAAGTAAATTCAATAAACTAAGCTTCGTATGCAAATATGTTTTTAAGACACATTTTCTCCCATTTCATTGCAGGCTCATTCATCGGTTGAAAAGGATGGCTTGATCGCTGGAGTTAAAATCAAGCAGCTCCCCACAGACGACGCGTTCGCTGTACGTGGGTCAGCCCTAAGGAAAGCCGTAGACCAAGATAAAGCTGCTGGCCTCATTCCATTCTTTGTAAGTGCTGATAGCTCAGTGTTTGTTCATGGCTGTAATGCCCAATGAATAAGTAGACAATTGGGGTTGCCAACCTGGGAACTGGCCTGCTTCTCTGTGCCTTTAACAGCGCCCAGAAGGAGAACAGCAGCTGCCATTTGAAGAAGAGCAAGCCCAGGGCCCCCTCTAAGTTGCCAGCTGTATTTGCAAGAGGCAACCTGCTGTCCCTGCTCCTGATGTGATTACAATGTTGTAATACGGGTTACAAATTGGGTTAGAGTCATTGGCTGCTACAGACGCTGCATCAAAACCCCTCCCCCCTCCCAGGACAACAGATGTTTTTCGCTTTCGGCTGTGGATGAAAGGAGCTTCAAGGTCTCACACACACAAGGTCACAGGAAAGGCAACCAGGAGAATGAACTATAGCTGAGCTTCATCTCTTGTGATAAGGCCTAAAGCCTGACCTCCTTCTTGAGGCTGGTGCATTGCTGCATTTAGCAGTAAGAGAACATTGACACCAAGATGCTGTAGCTTTCATTTGGATTTAGCTGTTTCCACTGAAATCAGTGTCTGGTCTGCCTACCGGGAGTGTGGACTCCTGGAGAGCTCACAGCCATGTGCTGCTCCCTGGCCCTTCTTGTGCCCATGAACTAAGCCAGGATTTGGCTCTGGGGGCTCCCCAAACTTTGATTCATGGTTATTGTTGTTGTTGGCGTGTTTATAGCCGACCTTTTCCCCTGACAGGCACTCAAGGCAGCTTACAGATAAAAATAAAGAACCACTAAAACACATGAAAAACAGTCATTAAAAACAACTGAATGTTGAATGTTTAATTTGATAGAATGGTTAAGCTCCCTCCTCACTAACCAGAATCTTTCCCTACAGGAAAACCACTTGCAAAGCAGCACCCCACATAATTCACCCCCTTTGCTCTTGGTAGCGGGAGGGAGAAGAAAATGCAACTTCTCCTTCCTCTGCCCTCCTCTCGGCCCTGTGTTAAATCGGGGCCTTTAAATATATATATAATTAAATATTAACCCAACTCCCTGAATTAATTTGGGACTGGATCTGGGGTGGGTAGTCCCTGGGTCCAGGGTGGGTTGGTCTGCTTGCCCCCAACCTGGATCAGAGCCACAGGGCAGAACAAGTGGTCTGTACACAGCCCTAGTATTTATGTTGTCCAATAACTAAGGTTCTCTGGGCAGCTTTCAGTTTTATGCAAAAATAAAACCATAAACCCATAAAATCTAAGGGAGCATAAGACCAGCAGTAGAAGATAACCACCATTTCAAAAAGCTGACACCATAAAGAAAGATCTGAACTTCAGAGCCATCCAAAGTGTCCTTGAGTCACAAACAAAGAGATTGAAAAGCCTGGGGAAATGAAAAAGTCTTTATCTGGCATGGAAAGACCACAACGTAGATTCTAGGCAAGCCTCTTTGAGGAGGGGTCCCATGACTGGAGCAGCACCACTGAAGAGACACGATAGAGTCACTGCTGAGCCAAATCTTTTGCCCCTTTGTCATCTCTAGCCAGTAAATTCGTTGGAGCATTATACAAAACCTGAGCGGATATGGTAGTTGGGCAGGAAAACAGAGTTTGCCAAAGCAAGGAGCAGCAACAAAAGCAATAAAAATAGTTCATTGAATGTCAGGTTTCAGCCCAGCCCCAGTTGGGAGCCTCCTCAGAGGAATGTGGGAATTAGATTCTCCTTCCCATTTAGTGCTATGCGAAAGGAAGAATCTGGGTTGTTTAACCCTTTCATTTGTTGCCTTCCTACAAAAATTACACAAGACCACTGTCTTTTAAAGTTTAAATAACAAATAACTTTTACTCAGTGTGCAGGCAGTTCTCCATTTATCTGGGGGTTACGTTCCAAGGCACCACACACATTGGTGAAATCACATACAGTGGTGCCTCTCAAGACGAAAAGGATCCGTTCCGCGAGTCTCTTCGTCTTGCGGTTTTTTCGTCTTGCGAAGCAAGCCCATTAGCGGTTTAGCGGATTAGCGCTATTAGCGGCTTAGCTGGCTTAGCGGATCAGCTGATAAGCGGCTTAGCGGATCAGCTGATAAGCGGCTTAGTGGCTTAACGGATCAGCTGTTAAGCGGCTTAGCGGATCAGCTGATAAGCGGCTTAGTGGCTTAGCGATCAGCTGTTAAGCGGCTTAGCGGATCAGCTGATAAGCGGCTTAGTGGCTTAACGGATCAGCTGTTAAGCGGCTTAGCGATCAGCTGTTAAGCGGCTTAGCGGATCAGCTGATAAGCGGCTTAGCAGCTTGGGAAAAAGGAGGGGGAGAAAAAACCCCCGCAGGAACTCGCAAGACATTTTCGTCTTGCGAAGCAAGCCCATAGGAAATTCGTTTTGCGAAGCACCTCCAAAACGGAAAACCCTTTCATCTAGCGGGTTTTCCGTCTTGCGAGGCATTCGTCTTGCGGGGCACCACTGTATAATTGAAAACCATTGAAAAGGCCTGCAAACACCCCGTTCTGCCCTTTTAGTGATGTTTCAGTGATGTGTTTATGATGTTTCTGAGTCACTTCTGGGTTTGGTACAATGTGCGTATATATGGCTGCGCACAGACTGAATGCGCGTGAACGGGGCTGCCTGTACTTGCACTTGGTGGATCAATTATACAAGGCAGGGAGGTGTTTCTTATGTTAATGATACATCTTACGTAGATTTGTATCTAAGACAAAAACTGTTACAGATGGACTAACCCTGAGGCAGACAGCCGCACAACAGGACAGACCTGCTGCTCAGGTGCTCTAACAGCTGAGATAGTTCACAGCTGCCAAAACTGCCCAAATGACATCACGGCCTCTGGCAGAAGGTGAATGATGTCACAGAGTTATATCTGGGAATGCTATGGCCCTTGTGAGCATTTACCTTTCACTTAGCATTTCGGATGCTTTCGGCCGACAAGGAAGACCAGGAGGAGCAGATAGAAGACCATGCTTGGCAGGGGGTTGGACTCGATGGCCCTTGTGGTCTCTTCCAACTCTATGATTCTATGATTCAGAAATGTCCAGCAGATCTCCACAACCTGGGAAGAGGGGGAGGGACATGGAAGCACCTGCCTGGATTGGGTTCTGGCGGAGAGCCTGGAAGGAGTGGAACCTCCAGATCCCATCCAGATCCTTCCAGATCCCATCTCAGCTTTCTTAAGAGGTCCAAAGCAAAGCTTTTTTGACCTGGGGAAAGGGGCAGAGCTTCAGAGATCTGGGTCATGGTACATGTTCCAATAGTTCTTTTGAATTTCACAAAACTGGACCCATATTAGCTGAAATTATACTTAATGTAGAGCCAGTCTGGACTTGTTTTAGCTGAAAATACCACCACTACTCCTAAACATGCACAAATGTGCATGCACACGCACACAAGATCCTCAGATTTTGTATTGGGAAATGCTGCATGAAATTAGTTTGTATTAGTTCTATGCAGCTAATCTTGTACCTTCCCAAAGAATGCTGAAAGTTTTGGTTTTGGTTTGCTGATGGCTGATTCTCTCCTTCAGTTAGATTTATTTTGTTGTTGTTGTTGTTGCTTTTTGTTTTTGGTCCCGTAGTTTTGTGCAACACTTGGAACCACAACATGCTGCTCCTTTGACAAACTGTCAGAACTGGGTCCTATTTGTAAGTCAACAATTATTTATTTTGTCTCAGAGTTGGAAAAATATTGCTATAAATGAGCTACCATTTAAATTCCAATAAATTTCACTTGTCACAACATTAAATACAGTAGTTTCAGTGAGATGCGCTCATATTGTTTAATTAAACAAACAAACAAATAAACAGGGTTTGTTTGAATTTAGTATGTTGTCAAACCTGTTCCATCTGGGAGCAGAATGAAACCATTACCCTGGAGACCTGCCTCTTCTCTGAAAAACGTCCCTGAGTTAGCTCCTTCCTGTTCTATTGCAAGTGTGTACCTGGATTCACAGCCAACACTCATGTATGTTCATATACATACTGCTGAGAGGTTTAGGATCTTTTGCTGCAGTTATGACTTGTGCTTGCTATGGATGTGTGTTAACCCTTAATCTTATGCCCATGAGAAGCTCTCCCACAGAGGACTGAAAAAGCTTGGTTTATTCTGTGAGATAGGAGTGACAAAATATATATAAATGCTGCTTCAGACAGCCAAGTTATAATCTAAACAGGTAGCAAATTTTACAATACATACACACCTTGATTAAAGAGTAAAAGATCCCCTAACTATTCTAAAATGCCTGCAGACACATGGGCATGACAGTTTTGCCATAACCCCCCACTAGAAGTGGAAAGGGGTGGGAAAACAAAGTATAAAGGTAAAGGGACCCCTGACCATTAGGTCCAGTCGTGACCGACTCTGGGGTTGTGGCGCTCATCCCACTTTACATGCCGAGGGAGCCAACGTTTGTCCGCAGAGAGCTTCCAGGTCATATGGCCAGCATGACTAAGCCACTTCTGGAGAAACCAGAGCAGCACACGGAAACACCATTTACTTTCCCGCTGGAGCGGTACCTATTTATCTACTTGCACTTTGACGTGCTTTCGAACTGCTAGGTTGGCAGGAGCAGGGACCGAGCAATGGGAGCTTACCCCGTCGCGGGGATTCGAACCGCTGACCTTCTGATCGGCAAGCCCTAGGCTCTGTGGTTTAACCCACAGCACCACCCGCATCCCTTATAAAGTACTTTATTACAAAGTGTACCTGTCCTTAAAGCTAAACAGATGTGTGCCGAGTCCTGGCCAGTGCTGGGTCAGTTCTGTCATGTTGGAGCCAGGAGAGCTCACTAGCCTTTGAATCTAAAGTTTTTTTAAAATACCTTTTTGCCAAGGCATGCCAGTGGGGAGGGGACTGTGAACTGAGTGGTTTCTACAATTTCCATAATTCCTTCCAGAATAGTGAGAAAATGTTAAAACTGGCCATCCAGTTTGCTTAATAAAGGGTGAAGGACTTGTGACAGTGAGCCATTATTTGAATCTGGCCGTCTTTGTCTGCTACCTGCCTTCAAATCACCTTTGAGGAATTGAGTATCCTGTATTTGATAACTAAATTTGCAGGTGTTAATCTTTAGGTCAGGCGTGTGTGAATTCAGGATATGCCTGAGTGCCTTTTAGGGGCCTGGAAGTTCCAGAGTCACCAAAGTTTCATCATGGAGAGTCTCATGCCATACTAGTTATGTCCCGGTGCGCTGCCTCGCCCCCATGGCAGAGGGGTCCCAGGCCATGCTGCTATCACTGCAGTGGATGTGAGTGACGTTGGCACACCCTGCCGTGTGTTCGTGTCACTGCATAGAATTTTGGGGGACCCCCTGCCCCTTCATTGAACATTTGTGGGTGCCTGGGCCCCCTGGCCCTGCATGGATGGTGCCTGTAGTTATGTCAGTCTTATACTCCTGCCATGATCTGCAGAGATAAACCAGATCGGAAGTTCAGATTCACACAACCTTTTCACAGTTTCCCCTCTGCTCCATCACTGCCCATGTACAGTGAACAGTTTAAACATTTTCCTCAGTCTTGTACTCCCTGTTGCAGGGAGACTTACATTTTCTCAGCCCTGGATATGCAATATATATTGTGTCTGGAAAAATATGACCTATCCACATAGTCCCTTCCAACTCTACGATTCTGTGACAGCCCATTTATTGTTATCTAGAAGAGAGTTGTGCACCAATGAAGCAAGCAGCCACTGGCTATTGCCTTGGATATGTAAAGTCGTGGGGAGCATCATTTCTGAGCTCTTCTGTGTCTTAATTAGGGTTCTTAAAATATATTTATGCTTTAAAGGCATAAAAAAAAAAAGAAGAAGCAAGCATCAGCAAGACTGCCCTATCCCAGCAGTGTTCCTCCACTTTGGGATTCTGTAACTTTAACATAAACCAATAAAGTAAGATAGTTATCTGAAGTCTGCGTCTTCTCCCATTCTGTCACAGGATCACATATCTACTCTGAAAATGTGTAAAGTGTTAGGGTAGCTCTGCTTATAGGCCACATTTCCACATAAGGCCTTCAAAGCCACTTACAGACTAAAAACAAACTTGGAAAAACACAGGAAAAATATTTATTTTATAACAAGACTGGTCCCCCCCAACTTTTTAATGTGGATATTCTGTTGCAGAAAAAGATTAGTTTTTTAGCACCTTAAAAATTAGTCCATGAATCTTTGGTGGCATAAGCTTTTGTCGCAAGATGACTCTGTGCTCACTGCTGCCTTGTGGCTGCACTTCCTAACCATTTTGATCACCCTCTAGAATTAGCATGTCTCCTTTAGAACATTGCAGCATTTTAGATTAGCTGCATTATGCAGAAATACTTTTTTTTAAATGACATTTAGAAACCTGCAACCCAGCCCTACCCTCATTACTGATTGTTCAGTTAGGTGGGTTATTAAAAATTGTTCATACAATTCCCCACCTTCTAGGTAATGAGGAGACTATTTGGATGCATGTTGATGCAGCCTATGCTGGGAGCTCATTCATCTGCCCCGAATTCCGCCACCTTCTCAATGGAGTGGAGGTAAGCAATAGTAATGAAAACTCAAAATGAAATCCAGGCAGAATCATTAGCTGCTAATAACCTGATTTTACAACTTTTATCTTCATGCACATGTCTGATGCAGTGGAAGAATGGGTGGCTTGGCAAGGTTTTGCTTCCGTATTTTTCTCTTCCTTATGCAGCTAAAAATACCCTGGTATTCTGCCTCCCAGCCTCTATGTATGGCGGGCAGTTAAGATCACACCTTCCTGCCCTGGTGCACCTGTTCTGCCCGTACCTTGGGGTCCTTTCCCTTTCCCTTTATGAGCATATTGGTAAAGTCCAGAGTACACACACCTGAATTATGCAGCTTTGTTATTTGAGGTCTAAGCATATTGGATTTTGTGTATCTACAACCTATTCAAACATTATATCATTGTGTTAACACCTGGTAATCTTGGAGGGTGAACAGGGAAGGGGGGGGCAAACATTCACTCCAAGTCCAACAACCTCTCAACTGTAGCTGATGCTCTTCTTAAAGCTGGAAGAAACAAATTAAAATTTCCAAAGGCTCCTTTAGACGTGGTCTTGGTCAGTTGCATAGGGGCTCTGGAATATCTCCTAGAAGTACAATTTGTAGAGGGTGCGTGCAGTCCCTATTGCTGCTTAGCTACACATGGCACCTGCAAGGGAGCCAAAGAGCTTGCAAACTACATTTTAACAGATGGGGGGGGGGAATGAGAGGAGGGCCGAGAAGTAAAGGAAAAGTGTGTGAAACAGACATTGACTGATTTGAGACAGCGGCTGGATTACTGGCTTGGGTAGAAGAAGCCGCCGTTGTCAGCTCTGAGCCTGTTGAACTCAGTTGCTGACGCTTATTCTGCCTTTTTGCTATCACCGCCTGCCACTTCTTAGCTACCACTGTAATTGTTGCAAATAAAGAGACTGGCAGAAAAGCAAAGGAAGACTTTCCCTGGCCTCTTGCTGGACTGTCTCCTCTGAACCTCCCTTTGCCTGGAGAAGGGAGATGGGGAAGGTTGCCTTTCCATCCTGAGTAGCTATGGAAATATTTTCAAGCAATTATCTGAAACAACATGATCATTTAGTGACCGCTTTCCTCATCTGCATCTGTTTTGAAAACCACAGGAGAATACATTCCAAATGCAGAACGGGGAAACTGAATAGTATGTGCAGAATCACCAAAGGACATTCTGTTTCACGTACTGTATAAATGATAGGTGACTTTTCATTTTTCCAGTAATGCTGGGCTGCTTTTCATGTGCATCCTTAGATAAGGGCAATGCAATTTCCTGAGTCTCTTTCCAGACTGCCAGATAAACTCCTGGTCTTCCTTGACATTAAAGGGGGGAAAATATTACTGTTTGCTGAATGTACCTAAATAATGCCAATGTGTAAGAGCTAATAAATGAAAAGAAGCAAAAAAGCCCTAGCCAATAAAGCACCCTCCTTTCTCGTTTTTATCAGCAAAGCTTGCTGTAATTTCCTGTGCAGGTTTCACTGGCTCCTGAAGGAAATGAATCATCACTTCCATGGTGTTTCAAGCGTCAGTGTGGCAACCATTCAACAAGTCTAAATAGATGCCCTCCCTCTAGCCATATGGCCTCCCTCCCCCCCCCTCACAATACTGCTTCACAAAAGGCCTGTATGCAAATGGAGACACTGATGCCACTGGGTTGCAACTGGCTAAAACAGAGATATCCTGGTGTTGCAAAGCACCGTACCATTTTTTTCTTCATATACTTTCAGAAACCACAAAATCAACCTACATTATTATTTGTTAACTTTGCAGAATGGATAGTTTCTTTCAGCTTCCTTTGCTACATGTGGAAATCCTTGAAGGGGGGAGAGAGAGCTGCAACTCTGTTGGTCCTGGTGGCTCACTAAGGCAGGAGGGACCCTGCGGCTGGCAGCCAGAGGCTGGAGTGGGTGGCAGGGATGCAGGTGATGGTGGCAGGGGCACATCGGAGCACCCTTTTCTTCTGACCCAATTGCAGCAGTGTTGTTAGGGGACTTGAGATCAGGAGGGTGACAAAAGTGGGAAGGGAGAGGAAGAGGTGGGGCGAGTGGAGGATTTCATCTTGGAAAGTGCTGCTTCTTTTGCTTCCAGCACAAGCTTTCTTCCTTCCTGCCCAGGGCCTGCCTCTCCTTGCCACCTGGCCCCTGACAGCCCCAGATCATTCTGGGTGCCGTGACCCAACCTGAGGTGATCCAGGATTGTCTCCACCTAAGTCAGGCAAAACCCGGATCCCCACAGATTGGCCTGATTTGGTTCAGGATTCAGCCTAATCTGGTGCATGGCGCCACAGAATGCATTGAAGTGTGGGATAACATGAAAACATGTATACTCAGCCCTGGAGCCTGCATGCTGAGCAGGCCTTGCCCCCAAGCAAGGCAGAGACCTGGAAAGCTCTTCTTGTCTGGGTCTTCTTGGCACAGTAAGGACTTTTAAGCTCTCTGTTTTTCTCGTCAGGCAAAGCCTGCATAACATGCTGGCTCTGGAAGCTTGGGGGTGATCACGAGATCTCAGGGGAACTCGGACATCTCTGAGAGATCTTGCGAGAGCATCCCAGAACTGGTGCACTGCATGGAGAGCTTAAAATCTCTCTCTGCACTGGGAAAACTTTCAACTTGTGCAATTTCAACCATTTTTCTCCATGGTTGTTCCCCAAATCCAGAAGTGCAGAGCAAATTCCTAATTTCTTAAGCTTCTCCCCTAGATCTCCGCTTTGATGGATATGAAGTATATTGTGCAAGGTTGGAATTCCACAAGTTAAATGCACATAAGAAGTGATTGTATTGTACTTTGAAACTGATGAATAGAATCATAAATAAAACCTTCAGAATATGAAGAGGGCTTCACCAACCCATCAACCAAAACCTCTTAATAAGGGAGTTGTTCTTCAAAATCCCCGTCTGTGAATGCTACTGTTGAATTTCACCAGAATTCTCTAATTGATGAAAGCACCTCACAGACACACTGGGAAATCTGTCAAGGCTGTCAAGTTAGAAATATTGACCTGGTGGTTGTAATCATTTTCCTGATTTTTTTTTTTTTAATCCTTTCAGTTTGCAGATTCATTTAACTTCAACCCACACAAATGGCTCTTAGTAAATTTTGACTGTTCTACCATGTGGTAAGTATGAAGTGCAAAAATGAAGAGTTTGCATGTAATGTTAAAGCATTATTTAATGAACAAACCTTTGGCTCAAGCCATAAGATATTCTGCAGATAATCAAAGTAACTAAGCTAAGTGGTTCAGCCAGATCCCATTTCTTACTCCTGGTTAACATCACAATGTAATGTGATGTGTGGACCAGGGCTGTGAATGCACTACTCCTTTAAAACACATTCTAAACACATCTTCCTCTCAAATAATTCTAGGACTGGAGTTTGTTTAGGGTTGCTTGGAATTGTGACTCTGTGAGAGGTAAACTACAGTGCCCAGAATTCTCTGAGGGAAATAACTTGCTTTGAATGTGCTTCAGATGTATAGCATTTACATAGCTATTCCTCGTCTCTGTTTCTTCCAAGACAGTTTTTAAGTTCTTTTGAAGAAATGTGGTAGCGGTGATGTTAGTGCTATTAGTTTAATGAAATTACTTAGGGGCAGCGAACATATCGTGGGGCATTGTGCTACCAAGGTTTATTACACTTGAAATGAATTTGAAAGGAAATCTAGGAAATGTATATGCTAGTTGCAGATACAAAGTAGTTGAAAAAATGATGTTTCATTAGGTTAAATTCTACGTTAATCAAATCCGAGACAAGAACAAAGCATCTGGTGTCTACATGACTTGCATATGAATTGGGCCCTTCCATTTCACATAAATTAATGAGGGGTCAAATTTTAATCTGCAATCAAAGCTTTTATATATTTTACTCATGACAGAAGTAGCTGGTAATGCAATGGCAAATAATCCAAAGTCAATATTTTTTCAGGGTGAAGAAGAGAACAGATTTAACCTGTGCCTTTAAAATAGATCCTGTTTATCTGAAGCATGACCATCAAGAATCAGGTAAAGTGTTTTATCTTTTCCCTAACTTGAAAATAGTTTTTGGCTGTCAAAGTTTGTTTCAGTTTAGATACTTTCAGCACAGTATTTCAAAATGGTAAGAGTTTCCCAGTGGCGTATCGTGGGTTGTCAGCACCCGGGGCAAGGCGAGTAATTTGTGCCCCCTAACCCGTGGATTTTAGCGCTGCGAGTGTGAGCGTGCCCCCCCCCAGATGGTGCGGCTGGCCCCCCCTGCACCCCCCACGCTACGCCACTGGAGTTTCCCATTTTTTCTTCAAAACATGTGTTAGCCAAGTATGTAAATCAAGTTTACATGAGTTCAGAAAATTGCCTGATTTTACAAGTGTCCAAAGAAATGGACAAAGGAGGGGAACAACTCTCTGATTTTGTGTTCAGTCAATAATGAGGATTAAAATGACCACTGCCACTTTTGAAAGAATGCAGAAGATGTTTGTGGTGCATAAAAGGGTGGATAGGGTATGTTAAGGGAGAAGTGAAGCGATGAATATTTTGATTCTGAGAGTACATTAGAGGGGGATATGTTTTGTTGCAAACTGTAGGACTCTCTTGAGCAGCCAGGCAGCTCAATTGCCCAATTGCTCATTGTTCCGGTCAGGTTTGATTGCCTGTTGTTGAGAGAATGAAGCCTGGAATCAGCCCCCTGCCCAGGTGGTGAGTGATTGCACAACAGAAAGTAGGGGGGAAATCTTGTTGGGGTGAGGTACTGCACATGCAGCTCCTGTTGCTAGGTGAGGAACAATTGCCAGGATAGCAATGAGGAACAGTAGGCCTCATATTTTATTTTTGTTTTAGTTATGATTTATGATTTTCATTTATATACATTTCACATAGTTTAATAATCATCCTAACTGTTCAAAACTTGACTTCCTTCCTCCTCTTTCTGTGGTTCCTTAAATTTATTTTTTTACATTTCCTGCATATTCTAACTTAACTTATTCTTTTATTTATCTACTTTAAATATATACTCTTATGAAACTACAGGTTATTACAATAATCCTGCTAATGTCCTTATCTGTTTACGGTAGGCCTCATATTTTTGCTCATTCTCTTTCTGTAGCATTTCCCCCCCCCCCCCCATGAACAAGTCTATTGCCTTCACAGCAGCTTCAGTCCATTTCAGTGATGGCTAGAATGAGCCAGCAGTGATGTTTCCAACATCTTTCTTGAAGCATTTCAGCTCAGGGATGGGCAGAAGGTAGACCCTGAGACACTAGTGGAGCAGCTACTGTTTGCCTGTGCCTGGGATTCTTGCAAGAAATGCTAGATTCAGGTTCCTTTCATCCTAGAACCCTTTAGTGCTGCTAAAGTGTGGCTTTTCTGAACTCAGCTGGAAGCAGGATTAAAATGAGGACTCCACTCAAACACTTAATACTGTTATAGATTTGGGGGGACCCTTCCTAAACCTTATAAATTAATAAATGGTAGGATTTTGGTTACTTGGAATATGGATGAAAGTATAAGCTGCAGAACTGTGTCAGATAAGGAATCCCTGGGCTGGCTTATGCAAACCAGCCTGGCTGGCCTAGCAAAGAGCAAATCTATTAACATGACAAAAGGTGTTGACAGACCATCTGAGAAGAATCCTTTGGCCTGGGAAGACAGATGTTGCCAAGGTGATGGTGTGTGTGTGTGTTTGAGATGACAGAAAACGGAGAGTCTTGAGCAAGGGTTGCTGGGAAGAAGAAGGAGGAGGAAGAAAAAAAGACCAGTGTGAATCTACACTGGTTGGTTATAACATTAAAAATGCATTATAGAAATGTAATTCCAGAGGGTGCTGTAGAGCAGCAACCCATTGGCAATGGGAAATTGCATTGAGAGCTATATAATGTTTTTTTAAAATAGCCTTTAATAGCGTTTTTACAGATCAGTGTAGATCCAGCCTTAGATCCATCTTGGGCAGGCTGGCTGCAGAGATGACTGGGAAATGCCTTGGACTGCAGGGTTGTGCTGCTGTGGGGACAAGCCCCTCTTGAAATGACCATGCCGTAAGGTCTGGACTCCCTCCATGCAGACCGAAGGTGTAAATAGGTGAATAAACTATATTTCTTAAAGCTAAGACAGTCTCTGTCATGTCTCAATTCTCCAAAGGAACACAGATGCTGGGTGATTGCCTGGAACACGCTGGAATCTTGCTGTCACTCAGCAGAGAGTGCGGGTGCACCCATCTTTTGTAACAATAAGTTGTCATATTACCCAACAACTTTACTTGTTACTTATTTACAGAGGGGAGGCTTTAATAGCTAATTCCCACTGGTAATTTCTTAGTTGTGAAGTAGTTTCATTTTTTAGTTGTGAAGTAGTCTCATTTTACTATGAAACAAATGGAGTAATAATAATGGCAATAATGAAAGGAAACTGGGAATTAATCCTACCCCTTTGGGAACAGAAGCTAACACTGGGGAAATTAAAAATGGCTACTTGAAGGATAATTAATAGGCCATTAGTTACTAATCCTCTGATCAAACTGATCAGGAAGCAATGAAACAAGAAGTGCTGAATTCAGGACACAGAAGCCTTTCAGAGTTTCACTCGTGTTCTCCTGACCATACACAGGAATTGCTTTAGATTAGGCATGAAAAACACAGGAGGATAGCGCAAAACCCTCTGGAATGTAAGAGGAGGAAAGTGGCATCAACTGGGTGCTTCATAAAAACTGAGCGGACAAAAGATGACAACTCCAAAGAAAAGGATTGCTGTAGACGCAGCCGACATGAACGCTGGGCTCTCAAAGGGTCTTCTGATGTTCTTAAGTGGGAATGAAAATTTGGGATCCTAGTATAGATTAGTTATGACTTGACGGTTCTGGGATTTCAAGTCTGCACCTTGTAAATTTGAATCGGGTTCAGAGGACTATGGGGGTTTGGGAGTTCCAGTAAAAGCTAAGTAGGCCATGCAAAACGGAAACCAGTCTGTTCCAGGTTGAGCTCACTAGATATGCTGACCAGCCATTTCATTGATGGTTATCTGTGCAGCAGGGCATTTATTGCGCAGGCTCTCAGAGAACCAGCTATTAGTTGTCTTGAATAACAAAATCACTTGCAATTTGATGGTTAATTTCCTCTTAACAAGTCTTAATGAAAATGTTAAAAAGCCCAGCACCAGAGCCCAGCCTCAAGGCACGGCTGCCTAGCTTCCCCCATATGATAACTGATTCTCCCCCTTCTGCTTCACTGCCAAAGGCTAATCTAAAGTATATTTGCCTTTTTCTGTCCAGTGCTTGGCAATAATTATAATAAGGTGTGTCATTTACATTATTTTAATCTAAGAGCTGGATTCAACTCACTTTGGGGTTTTTGGTGGACCCGCTAAGTGTGGATGACACAGAACAGCTGTAGGCTTTCTGGAGTGAGAGGAAGGACTGGCCGTCTCATTGCTGGACATGATTCTGAAGTTTACAACATTTATTGTCTTTAAGAAGGATATTGACAAGCTGGAAGGGTGTGCAAAGGAGGGCGACCAAGATGGTCAAGTGTCTGGAAACCAAGCCTTTGTGTTTTTGTGTGAATTTCTCTTAAAACTGCATACAAAAATGTGTTTATTAATGAAGGTATACGTTTTTGCAAGCAATTTCTCCCAATTCTGGCATTGTTTGCCTACTCTTTTCACTATTATATTCCTTTTTAGGCACATTTTATTCTAACCTGCATTTTTTAAAAAGACTCTTTGGATAGAGAACTGCAGTGAAAAAATTGGATAAGTGTGAATTTTGAAGGATGGCTCTGTTTTGGTTCTTACATTGCTTTGGAATGTGTAGATTTGATAAATTGAGCTTTACATGCAAAAATAATCAAATTTCTTCCCCACCTCAAAGTCCACCTCATGTCAATCTATTTTTGTAAAATGTATTGCCTTTCCCTTCTTTCATGTAAAATTTTCAGAATTGTGCTTAATGCTTTTTAGTACCTTCCATTCACAGTTTATTCATTTTCTTTGTACCATAAAGCTTAAAATAGATATTCCTCAGCCCTGACAGAGACATTTGACTAGCCTCTTAGTTCTCCTCTTCAGCTGAAATGAAGCCTTCGCACTTGCAGTTGCTCCCACTTCTTTTGCTGGCCTTTCTCTCTCTCTCTCTCTCTCTCTCCCTCTCTTGCTCCCCCTTTTTGCCTAAATTTAGACTGCATGTTCCTTAAAGGAAGCACCATCTTGGTTTACAGAAAGTGCCCTGAGCACTTACTGCTGCTATAAAAATACACCATGGAGCCAGATGGACCAGTAGCCATGCAATAAAGATATTTTATAGGAAAATTAATTAAGAACCCCCAAATTTGAGATTATCTCCAAACCTGTGGCAAAGTTTTGCAGTTTTTTGCAGCATTTTGCAGGGGAAACCCCTCATTTTGCAGCGCCGCACAAATTGAGCAAATGATCCCTCAAACACAGGGTTCATATTTAACAACAAATCTCCAAATTTGGGATCCAACTGCAACAGTTTGGCACTGGCTTGGGGGGGATCCCAAATTTGGGGGTTCATAGTTTATGGGGCAATGTTTTATATTTTTGGAACAAACCCTGAGCTCCTGGAATAGACCCTCCCATTTCCCTAGGGAAAGGGTTATCAATCAGTTGATCCTCGCCTCTTCCATAACAGCTTCTTTTGAAAGTACTCTTTGCTGGGAAAGTAACACAAAACCAGGAAAGCTTCTTTGAAGCGGCAACAGGAGCCTAATTGAATTCTAGGTGCAACTGGAGGGCTACAGCTGGCAAAGTTGACATAATGAAAGCCATTGCCCCAGAAGGTAAACCAAAGTGGGGTGGATTTGTTGTTGCTTTTTTTTTTTGTCTGTCTGCTTGTACGGTGTACTTCCATAATTGCCAAGCAACTCTGTACTGGAGGGAAAAATCCATATTTTGTCTGATGCTGTAATTTTGTGTCAATTTGCATTCTCGAATCAAGGATTGTTTTTGACTTCCTGGCAGCCAAAGGATGTCAGTCGGGTGGCAGCGAGGGAGGGATTCGCCTTTATGCTGTATGATAAATGCCCCATATGCAGCCTTAATTGCGCTCATCTGGGCTGCATAGAGCTGTGCGAGTGAGACTTATAATCATGGTGACAAGGGCTAATAGCTGGTGGCATTACGCTTGTTTCTGAGAGGTTGCTAGTAGATCATTAGGCACATGGCCAGTTACGGCAACATGGAATTAGTTATCCATCCCCAGTTGCTTCAGACGTTTGCTCAAGCCCTGCAACCATTAAATTGACATCACCAGTGAGATAGAAAAACATGTTTTTTTCTGCTGCTTATCTGGAGTTCTGCTTCATTAGATGAAATATCTATCAATCCAATCCTGTATACCATATACACACACAGTTTTACTTCTATCGATGTCCAAATGTTTTTAATGGTTATTTATTCCCTTTGTTTTTAGCTGTTCTTATTTTTATCTGTAAACCGCCTTGAGTCTCTCGCCCCTCCCTTGCTGCTATTAGGCTTTAAAGATAATCTTTGAGCCAATAAGCGGTTTGTTTGTTTTTAAGCCTAAAGGCAGTAGGGGGTGGGGGTGGGGGTTTGGTAGGGGGAGTGAGAGCTGGAAAGGGAAAGCTTAACCTCAGCTGTAAGTGTTCTTCCCCCAACATGCCTCCTCCCACACTTAGATTTGAGAAAATCCCCTAATGCAAAGTCATAGCTATTTTTTGGGGGGGGGGAGGGCTAGCCGGTATTTTTTTGCCCCGGGTGAAGCCTCCAGAGGGGGTGTCATTGAGGCTCCCAGCCTGTGTGTGTGTGTGTGTGTGTGTGTGTGTGTGCAAATGCTTGTGCCAAACTGGGCCTTTGACCCGGGTGAAATAAAGTTGGTTTCCCCCCTGCCTTATGGAGCCAAGTAGGAGTTTCTCCCCCCCCCCAAGCCTAACCACAGAGCTGGGGGCATTTTCAGTAGAGGATCACAGCTGTGACCCCCCTCCCACAATGGTTCTCTTTACATCACATCCAGCGTGGGAAAGGGACATTTTTAAAAAGCCTAATTGCAGCATTGGGAGGAGGAAGGCAGGTGGGGAGACCCCACGGGTGGCCAGTGGCCTGGCAGTTCCACCCCCCCCTGAATTCTAGGTTCATGGAGGGGAGGGACGGGTGCCCTGCAATATATTTATATTGTTACAGAAGTTGGACGCCACAACCACTCTCTGCTGAGAGGTTTCAAGGATTCGACTTCCCACAGTATCATAATATGACATTGTAGTTGTGAATGTGTGTTTATATAATATTACATTATATGTCTTTCTCCCCACCAACATACAGGACTTATTACAGATTATAGGGTAAGTACAGAACATTATTTCATCACAATATTTTCATTTCTCACTTGTGTTGGAATGCTTCAGGAGAGAAAAGCGATGTTCATTATCCACCTATCTGTGTGCTGACCCTTAAGAACTCTGGGATCGGCCACCATATTTGGCTTCTGGAGCATTTTACTATGAAATCTGTAAAGGTTTGGGCAGTTTCCTCTGGTGCAGATTCTGTTCTGTATCAAAAATAATCGTATTCGATCTCTCCTCCAGCACTGGCAGATCCCCTTAGGCCGTCGGTTCCGTTCCTTGAAGATGTGGTTTGTGTTTCGGATGTATGGAGTGAAAGGACTGCAAGAGTATATCCGCAAGGTGAATGCATTTTATTTTACCACTGAATACTCGAAGGGCAAGAAAAGAGGAGAGGGAGCTTTACAGATGAACACAGGCTTTTTTCGAATCTCATTTCTCCTTTTTTGATAGATGTACAAGCTTGGTGGATCAGGGGGATGTTGTAGATGTAATGTATCTTGATTTCCATAAGGCTTTTGACAAAGTCCCCCATGATCTTCTTCTGGAAAAGCAGGCACAATATGGACTAGGTGAGATAACTGTGAGGTGGATTTGTAGCTGGTTGACTGAGAGAACCCAAAGAGAGCTCACTAACGGTTCCTCTTCATCCTGCTGAAGTCCCCCAGAACCAGCATTCCGGGAGTCCCCAACACCACCTCCGAGACCAGCTCTGTCACCTCAGGCAGGGAGACTGCTGGGCAGCAAGGGAGCAGTAAACCAGAAGAATCCCTTGGCCATCCCGATTGCCCAATGCCAGGAACACAGACTCTAGATTCCACCCCCAACTGGACAGAGAGACTGGAGAGGGAGGGGGAGAGAGAGAATCTCTATAGACCACAACAGTTCCACCTCCCAGACCCTCAAGTCTGCCCTGATGCCACACTGAGTACCCAGGTGGGTACAGCTGGGTGAGACCAGCCCCACTCTGTTCACCCACCAGGTCTCAGTGATGTCAAGGATGAGAGAGGTCTTACTCCAAGCCAACCGGGCATTCAACAACAGTAGCTGCAGTCCCGAGGGCTGGCTGATAGAACAACCACAGTTCCCCAGGCTGGAACAGGGGCTGGCAAACAGCACAATCACCAACTGCTTGTGCCCCTTACCTGGCCTGCCCCCCATCTCCCCCTGCCCTGAACTACTGCAATTGCCCCAGCTGCACATTCTTCAGAGTAAACAACACCCACCCTGAATTTAAAACACTCAAGTTAAAAACAATTACAGCAGTTAAAACAATTTAAAACTACAGTCTGCCAGGGCCCCACCCTCACAGGAGAGGGAGCAGGAGCCGCAAGACTTGAGTCCTCGCTGCCGTCTCTTCCAGCTACAGTCTTACGGCCGAGGCGGCTCCACTTCTTGCACTGCTATGATCTTTGGGCCTCCTCTGCAGACCCCTGCTCTTCTAGGTGTGATGTAAGGGACCTGCAGGCACGGAGCAGGTCCACAAAATTCCTATTAAAATAAAAACAAAAAAACCCCAGGAACGATTCTGAAGGGCCCACACACAGCAAACTTTTCGGCAGTTTTGATATTTAATTTGTAAGTGGCAATACTTTTTAAAGGCAACATCTGTGTTCATAAGCTTAGAAATTAGATGCCGCTGAAGAAAACAGGAGTGGCTTCTGAGTAAATCTACACAGGTCTGGGCTGTAAAGTATCTTGTTGCAGCGCAGAGGAAGAACTTCAGTTCAGCATTGTAAGAGCCAAAGCTCTTGGCGCCTCCCAGTGGTTTTATTAAGTACTACTTGTTATATAGATTAATACTGTAATTATAATAGATTTACAATTTAAAACTTCAGCGAACTATTATTTTCCTGTAGAACAGCTGCTCTAATGCAAGGAAAGTCCCACATTTTAATCTAGTTTCTCCTTTGTAGTTTAATAACATAAAAGCTATGCAGAGGCCATTTGAGGTTTTGAGGAGCAATTTGGAATTCCCACCCACCCACCCAATTGATACCGTGCTCCAGATTAGTCTATCAGTTCTAACTTTCTGGAACAAATTAAATATAGTGAAAAGGTTGCCACACTGAGTGAGAACTTACCTTCAGCATATGAACCTGCTAAACAACATAGAATCAAAGAATTGTAGAGTTTGGAAGGCACCCTGAGGGTCATCTAGTCCAACCCCTGCAATGCAGGAACATACTAATAACCACATGGTACAGAATATATTCACAACACACACACACACACACACACACAGAGTCCTTTTTTCTGGGGGGACGCAGGGATGTTCATACCCCTAAACATTTTGTGAATCTTTGTCCTTTTGTCCATTTACTGTATTTATTTCCCCCAATTTGAACTATAAAATTGTGATTTTCTTGAGTCAAAATGAGAGTACCCCTAAACATTTTTAAAGAAAAAAGCACTGCACACACACACACAGAGAGAGAGAGAGAGAGAGAAGACAATTAGTTTTGTATCTTGTAGACATTTCCATATCCTGTGCTCAACAGATTCCACTGAAATCTTCCTGTGAAAAGTGAGATCCAGTTTCCATATCCTGACATTGTAGCTACTGCTTCCAAGGATGCATTCATGCGTGACAGAGTCTGTGCAAAGACTTCTGCAGATGCGATTCTTCTAAAAATGTGTCTAGCCCAGGGTGGTCCAAACAGCAGCCCACGGCCCACATACAGCCCAAGAGGCATTTTTTTTGGCAGCCCTCAGCAACATTCAAGAAAATAATATTAAAGCCTTACTGGAGGGTGGGGATAGGATTAGATAGCTAGAAAAAGTTGGTGGCAAGGAAACACATAGGCACAAAAGGAGAATTCCTGGATGCTAAAATCCAAGTTTGGGGCAAGTGAGAGAACTCCAGCAGAGATTTAAAATCACAAAATATGCAGCAAAGTAAAACCTGAAGTATAGGCTCTTGGACTTTTAAAATATGCTTTCCTAAGTTCCTTCCAAAGTTTCCTTCTTCACCTAACATAGAAAAAGTATACACATTTGGTAAGTTAAAAGTGGTTTACTTACAAACTCTTTGAAGGTCATGTTCATGTACTTTTCCACACAGCATTCAGAAAAAGTTGCATAGGCAGTAAAACTTAGTTTAGCTCCAAAGTGGTGAAAGTTCCTAAATTATTGTTATAGGAACTCAAGAGAGGCTTGTTAGAGGCATGCGGTCTGAGATTGGTGCAACCAGCTCAGACCTCACATGTTACGCTTCTCAGGTAGACTGAAATATAATAATAGGCTTCCTCCCAAGGTTAGGGGGAGTGACTTAGCTAAGCCTGGCAGGACAGCTTACTCTATGGTATTAACTCCAGAATAAGAATAAGAATAAGAATAAGAATAAGAATAAGAATAATTTTATACCCCATCCATCCAGACGGGTCTCCCCAGCCACTCTGGGCGGCTTCCAACAGAATATTAAAAACACAATAAAACGTCAAACATTAAAAACTTCTCTAAACAGAGCTGCCTTCAGATGTCTTCTAAAAGTGAGATAGATATAAACAAACAAACAAACAAACAAACAAACAAATAAATAAATAAATTGTCCAGTAGCACCTTAGAGACCAACTAAGTTTGTTCTGGGTATAAGCTGAGAACAAACTTAGTGTGCTACTGGACAATTTTTTAAAAAAAATTATTTTGACTGCATCAGACCAACACGGCTACCTACGTGAATCCAAAAGTCAGATAGTTGTTTATTTCCTTGACATCTGATGGGAGGGTGTTCCACAGGGCGGGCGCCACTACCGAGAAGGCCCTCTGCCTGGTTCCCTGTAACTTGGCTTCTCACAGTGAGGGAACCGCCAGAAGGCCCTTGGAGCTGGACCTCAGTGTCCGGGCAGAACGATGGGAGTGGAGATGCTCCTTCAGGCATACTGGGCCAAGGCCATTTAGGGCTTGAAAGGTCAGCACCAACACTTTGAATTGTGCTCGGAAACGACAAACTGCTCTAACCAGCTTGTGGAGACTATCAGAGGTCACAAAGAGAAAGGAAAAATATATGAAAATAACAACAAGAGATGTGGAAAAACAATAAGAAAGGACTGGCTAGTACTGTGACATCATAAGGTTAGATTTGTGGACATTAAAACAGCAGCAAGAAGCAAGAAGTTGATTGGATCCCCTTCAGAACTTGAAATATGGGTACCCCCAACAAAATTTTAAAATTCGGCTGTGTAATTTGGAATTTATGTAATTTGGTTTGATTTGATGTGATTGGTCGGTTAATAAAAAATTATTCTTAAAAGAATTGTGCTCGGAAACGTATTGGGAGCCAATGTAGGTCTTTCAGGACTAGTGTAATATGGTCTTGGCAGCCACTCCCAGTCACCAGTCTAGCTGCCACATTCTGGATTAGTTGTAGTTTCCGGGTCACCTTCAAAGGTAGCCCCACATAGAGCGCATGGCAGTAGTCCAAGCGGGAGATAACCAGAGCATGCACCACTCTGGCGAGACAGTCTGCGGGCAGGGAGGGTCTCAGCCTGAATACCAGATGGAGCTGGTAGACAGCTGCCCTGGAAACAGAATTGACTTGCGCCTCCATGGACAGCTGTGAGTCCAAAATGACTCCCAGGCTGCGCACCTGGTCCTTCAGGGGCACAGTTACCCCATTCAGGACCAGGGAGTCCTCCACACCTGCCCACCCCCTGTCCCCCCAAAACAGTACTTCTGTCTTGTCAGGATTCTGTTTGCTGCCAACCTCCTCCAGACACTCACACAAGAGAATCACTGCCTTCACTGGTTCTGATTTAAAAGAGAGGTAGAGCTGGATATCATCCGCATACTGATGAACCCTGCCCCACCTGATGATCTCTCCCAGTGGCTTCATGTAGATGTTAAAAAGCATGGGGGAGAGGACAGAACCCCGAGGCACCCCACAAGTGAGAGCCTAGGGGTCTGAAGACTCATCCCCAACACCACTTTCTGAACACGGCCCAGAAGGAAGGAGCAGAACCACTGAATAACAGTGCCCCCAGCTCCCAGCCCCTCAAGACGGTCCAGAAGGATGTTATGGTCGATGGTATCAAACGCCGCTGAGAGATCCAGCAGAACTAGGAAACAGCTCTCACCTTTGTCCCTAGCCCACCGGAGATCATCGACCAGTATGACCAAGGCAGTTTCAGTCCCATGTTGAGGCCTGAATCCCGATTGGAAGGGATCCAAATGGTTCACATCCTCCAGGCATGCCTGGATTTGTTCAGCAACCACCCGCTCAATCACCTTCATGCATTCATGAGACTTAAGCATGTTGGTTATATGAAGTTGGTTATCTCACAGAAAGAACGTCAGTTTTTTGGTTCTTCTGCTTCTGCTTCTTTTGATGGATTTTGTTTTATAACTTTTCATTATCATTTTAGCATGTTAAGCTGGCACATGAATTTAAGGACTTGGTGTTGCAGGATGATCGATTTGAGATCTGTGCTGATGTCATTTTGGGACTGGTGTGCTTCCGACTAAAGGTAAACTTGCAGTAATTTACAGCTCTCATATTATTTGTTGCGATTTAGAGGCCTCAAATTTCAAAAGCCACAATCTCCTAGTACTACTTTCTGGTGATGACACTACTGTAAGACACATTTTTGTATGCCTCCCGCCCCCCGCCCCCCAGACACATATTTTCAATGCATTCCAACCATAAAACATGTGTTTTTTGTATACATTTTGTGCACCAAAACTGCATTGCAAAATCTGGAAACTGCATTACCTGATGAAGAGGTCTGATCTGTAATTAAGTTTGGGACCTTCAAATTAGGTCACTCGGCTGTGAAAAGCAGAATGAACATTAAGCCTACCCTGGAATGTAATTTTAGCATGCAGTTTTAACATGGGATTTTAGTAAGTATAAATGTTTTTAAATGGCTGATTATATAGGTAAACTTGTTTTTAATGTGTGTTTTTATTTTGTACTTTTAATGAATATTTTAGGTTGCCTTTTGTAAACTGCTTAGGGGACTTTTGTCTGCATAAGCGGTATATAAATGTTGCTAAAAATAAATGTGGGTGTGGCTTACTCCAGATTGAGTCATGTATCTGCAGGCTGAAGGTTGCCCACCTAAGATGGTCCTGGCAGAGCTACCAGAATGAGAGTGAGATGTTAATGACCACTCTTGCTTGTTTTATCTTTATTCTAGGGTACTAATGAACTGAATGAAGCACTACTTAGAAACATAAACGATTCCAGGAAGATTCATCTTGTTCCTTGTAACCTGAGAGGGAAATTTGTGCTGCGTTTTGCAGTTTGCGCCCGCACAGTGGAGTCTGCCCATGTTCAGTTTGCCTGGAAGCACATTACGAAGTTGGCAGGGGAACTTCTAAAAGCACAGAAGCAGCAAGATTAATGGCTAAAATTCACTTGAAGATTTAAGGAATTAGGAAGGACAAACTGTAGTGATGAATTATTTCGCTTCTGGCATGACTGATGCATGCAAAACTACCATAATCAAACTGTGCTGCTATAACCCAAATCCAGGAAGTATGTAGATAAAAACACCAAGCACTGCTTTGCTGGATCAGTCCAAGTTCCTTATGGTCCAGCATTCTGTATCCAAGAGCCCCAACCAGATGCCTGTGAGGCCCCTCAAGCACAACACTGACAGCCGCCTCCTGTGGTTTGTTGCCAGTGTCTGGAATGCAGAAGGATCTACTGGTTCTGTACATGGCAGTTCCATTTAGGAATCATGGCTAATAACAATTTCTCACAAACCTTCCCTCTATGCATTTGGTCTAAAAGCGTGTGGGCCCCAGGTGGCAGGTGGAATCAGTACGCAGGAAAAGCAGACAAGATTAAAATCTTTGTTTTTTTAAAAACTCCATAAACAATCATTTTGTGAAGGGTATGAGAGGAGGTAGTAAAGAATAGAAATGGTATCATAGCTGATACTGTTCAGATTGAAAATCGAAAATATATGGAAAACTTTTTGGGGGTTTGTGAAGCTCACTTAATTGTTCCCTTTTCCAGACTATTGAATCACTCACTTTATTTTTGATATTTTCAGAGTTGAGAATTCCTGCGTAGTTTCCTAGGTTGTTTCAAGGTTGCTACCCTGAAGGAGCAATCCTTGTTTCGGTGGACAGGCAACCTTGCCCAGCTCCTCTCGTATACCTGAATCACACCCATCATGGCATATCCTTGCTGCTTACGGCAGAATGTTTGCCGTGTCTCTTGGTCCAAAAGAAAGAAATATCTAGTCTTTTTTCTTTGTTTGCTAGTTACCACAGCCTCCTTGGTTTTGTGAAAGGAACAAAACCTGGTGCAAATTAACAGTTAGTTATCACAGGAACACTTATTGGATAAACACATCCTTTGGAATCATGTCGAAAAATGTATTTGCTATTATGGTAGTTTTGCTAGTATTGGGCAAGCTGTTGATGACACGTACAAAATCCAAATTAAGAAAGTATTAATAACACAGATATATCTAACACCCTGATTCTAAGTACATTACAGTGAAGCAAGTTTATTTCTGCGTAGCTTTCATTGAAATATTGATCTGGATTGCTGTTGTAATTCTCAAATGTGCTTGTGTGTATTGATTCACAATTCAGTATCTGGGTAGGTACAGGCAACTCTCCATTTGTGCGTGACTGGCATGCACACGACCGCTGGCACACGCATTGTTATCGGCACCACAGGACAGGGACAGGGCGGGGGTGGAGCGGGGCAGCCTTGCGTGTGTCCCACTGATGCACACGGTGCCTCAGAATGCAACCGCTGCGTACATGGGGAGTTGCCAATGGCCACCTCAAGTTCTTCAGTATTTAACTCTGAATAACCGGCAAGCTTGGTTTGTGACTGTATTTCTCTGACTTGCACGTGGGGCTAACTTGTTTTGAATAGTCTGTCATACAAAAGCTATTTCCACAGAGAAAACTCTACACACACCCATGGCGAGTATACAAATAGTTTAGAACCGTTCTTTTGGCATCTAATTTTCGATGTGCAAATAATTAGTTTTCAATCATGTAAGACTTTGTCTAGAGTTGGAAGTTATACAACCCAGAAACAAGATTACCATGTCATTGAGAAGTAGGCCCTAGTTAAGCTAAGCAATACACACAATTATGGTTAGTTTGCTTTTAAGTTTTTATCACTAGATGCATCAAAACTCTAATAATTAGAAACCAGTAGGCCTGTGCCTTTGATACCTGGCTTGCGCGGGGGGGGGGGGGTGTTGGTTGGTTGGTTGGGGGGCGCTGCTGTTGTTGATGTTATTTTTTGGATCTTTATTTTGGATCTTATGATTTATGTGGAAATTGTTCAGTTTTTTCATGCTTCATTTATTGTTTACGACTACTTTTGTTCTGTGTGTAGTTCTGTTATTTTTTTTATGTTGTAAGCTGCCTTGAGCATGGTTTGAACTGTGGAAAGTCAGCATACAAACAAAATGGTTGATCAAGTGATTCACAGAATTGTAGAACTGTAGAGTTGGACAGGAGCAAGGGGGTCCTCTAGTCCAGCCCATGTGGGGCTGAACCCACAACCTTGAGATTAAGAGTCTCATGCTCTTCCAGCTGAGCTTGATTGACAGCATATCCCAGAATCCCCTCTGAAGGTTCAGGAAGCCTGCAGTGCATCGCAAGCAAAAACAACAAACATTTTGTTGTGTTCTAATTCCCATCTCTAGGTAAATACAAGTTGTTAAATATTGGTATTTTGGTTTGCTACATTTTAAAATCTGTATAGTGCCTCACCTCCCTGTCTTACAGCGGAAACATTAACACATGGACACAAAGTCTGGCTACATCGCCACTATCATTTCTGTACTGGTGTTAAGAAATCACCATAACCAATATAGTGGCATTGAGGTGTGGCTGTTGGACGAGGGCAGGGAAGCTCATCTCCCAGTCCCCATTTGGCCATGAACCACGTGCCCAAAGGTCAGTCGCTATTTCTCAGTGAGGATGAAATGTGTCGTGTGCAGAAATGGGTGGGAGAGAACTGAGCATGTCTCCTTGATGGGAAGCTAGGCTAGAAACATAATAAATGAATAAAAAGGCATTTCAAGGGAGAACATTTTCATTACCAAAGACATTTGTATACTCCAGATTGTAAAAGAATAGTACTTGTACAACAAATGGATCTTTAATAACCTAGAGCTATTGTGGCATTCCAGATTTCACCATCTATCATGGCTGATAATATTAATTGCCTGTGAACATTTACTAGACAAAAGAATAAACTGTTTCATCTCTCTGAGGTCCTTTCTCATCTTCTTTGCCCCACTGACATACCAACAGAGTTTTAACAATAAAACACATTGAGCATTTTCTTTAACCGCAATTGATACAGTATCTGAAAGAATTCAGAAACTCATTGAATTCCCTTTCTAGTTCTAAATTAAGGAAATAATTGATTTACAGTATTAGCTGTAGATTATGCTTTATGCCAAGGCAATGTGAAGTTTCTGAAGTTTTCTGTGTGCTCTGGGTACCTAAAACTCTCTGCTCTGATGCTACAGTGAACTCTGTTGTGAAATTGCTGCCGCTGGTTCCCACCATTTAAGAAAATGCTATTTTATTTATTTCTTTTTGCTGACAGGTCTCCTGAGGTTTTATAGCTGCATTGACAGGCAGAAATTCAGCAGCTGCCTAGCTGAGCAGGGGAAAACCTGTAACAGTAGTCCTGTCAGGGGAAAAAGGAGACAAGCCGATCAATAGTGATGTAATATGGCGAAGGCTTCTTGCATTCAATCTTGTTTAGTGGATAGTTGAAAGTGCTGCACTGTTGTGCTTATATTGTTTTATCCACTGATTGTAAAATGTGTATGTCTGGACATGCCTGGCACTATTTTTCCACCTATAATCACTCATTCATAGATTTACTGAGCCAGGATCCAATGTGTCTTTTCAGCAAAACCTCACAAAGCTGCTGAAATTATTTATCGTTAGCTGTTATTTTGTAATATCATAAATGCACTTAAGCAGAAAATCAAACCTCAAAGGTACAGTACGATGAGGAAAAATGATTTAATATTGCAGTGTTCACTCATTTTGTACAAGAATAATATTTGTGTACAAGAGATTATATATACGCACTTCCTTATCGGTTAATATATTTTAAAACAGATGTTAATTCCGCTATTGTGCATGATATTGTGTATTGCTAAAGTGTATGGCAAAACACCAGACTGCATTAAAACTGATGCTGTAAGATTGCATTTCTCTCTTCATTCTTGCTTTCAATGTTCTGATGGGGTTTGGCTGGGAGTTTTTAAATTAATGGGTGCTATTATACATAGGCTCATAGCTGAGGAAATAAAATGAAAGGGGACTCTGATACACTGGCCCATGGCTTTGCTCACCAATGAAAATCTACAATCAAGTTGGTTCTAGATCTAATTTTGTAACCATTTCCCCCTTCGACAGGAGGGCCCCTTGCTTTGGTGGGGGTAGTCAGGCCCAGCAGCAATCTCAAACCCGATAGGAAGGACAGGGCAGGAGCTACTGGGAATGGTGTGTGTCCAAGAGGGCATTGAGGGGATCCAAGGGGGTGGACTCCTCTGCTCAGTCATGGAGGGTGGCCTAGAACTGTTCCAAAATGCTAAGAGAGATCTTGAGATGAATGAATTCATTTGGGTCTGCTCCTTTGGAAGCGAGTCTAGGGTTGCAGCCTGACTTCCAATGAAGTTTATAGGATTTATGAATAAACAAGTTTTGGGGTTATACAGTAAAATAACGCATATGACACCCTTGGGGGACTTTTAAACCCCCCCCCCCAAAAAAAAACCTGTTGCAAACATGGAGATGGCAAAGCATGAAACAGAGAATAAAACTGGTGTTTGATCTTTTGGAAATGACCAATTATTTCATGCCTGAATTCAACCCCAGCTGTGATGTAGTAGCTTGCACACAGTGCTTTTTTGGGGGGGGGGGAATGCAGGGGTACACATACCCCTAAACATTTTGTGAATCTAAGTTTGGCCTCATTGAGGGGCAGTATTTCAATATGAGTACGAAAATGAGAGTACCCCTAAACATTATTATTATTATTTAGAAAAAAGGCACTGCTTGCAAGTTCATCGTTCCTGCAGCCCCACCTGGGCTAATGTGGAAGTGGGTCGATCTTCAGAACAAAGGAGGAAGGAATCTTTTGTGTGTGTCTAAGAAGAAAGATGGAATGAGACCAACAGGAGCTTCACTTTAGGACTGAGGAAACCCACAACTTACACAGGAGTTACGTTCCAGAGATAACATACAAAGCCAGATTCACATATAGTGGAAACACATCAGGTTCAATGGGTGGGATTGCCAAAGTCATTTTTCCTGGAAACCAGAGCCCTTTTAATTTAATATAAATTTAATTTTACATTTTTAGCCATGCACATAAAGCTGAATGCACACCAACTAAATGTGTGTAAGTTGTGAGCTTACTGCACATCATTCATTCATTCATTCCCCACCTTTTTCCCTAATAGGGACTCAAGACGGCTAAAAACAACAGCTAAAAACATGGGGGGGGGGAGCATTAAAAACAATTAAACATTGAAAGAATTAAAACTATATATATGTATATATGTGTGTATATGTGTGTATATATAGCACCAGCCCTCTCATTTAAAGCAGTCAGTTCCCTGTTATAAACAAGAAAGTCTTCACCTGCTGGCAGAAGGAAAAAAAAGGGGGAGCCCGTCCCGCTTCTCTTGGGAAGCAGTTCCAAAATTCCCTGGGAGCAGCCACCACCAAGAAGGCCCCTCCTGCATGCCCCCCCCAGTGTGCCTGGGAGGGTGGTGGGGTCACGAGAAAGGCCCCTCCCAAGTTGTCCTGGCAAGGGAGTCGCCTGCTCCCTCTCGCCAGCCCTGGTCAGCAATGGGATTGCCGCTCTGGGAGCCAGTTGAAGTTTCTGGGCACTTTTCAAGGGCAGCCCCAAGTAGAACACGCTACGGTAATTTGAAATATCAGAATTATTTGTCAAATACATTACGGTGGACAAATAAGGGGTCATTTTGACTGTCTCTTCCCTAGTCTGAACTTAATGTGAAAGGCAAACTTTTCCCCTTTTCATTGGAATATACTTTTGTCCATTTCTCTGTATGTCATGCAGAGCAGTAGCCCCAGTGACATATACCTGAGTGAATGGCAGAAAAATTACTTTGGTGTTACCTTTGGCACCTGTACACCAAGACAGAAGGCAGATGTGTATTGTGCACAGATTTTGCGCATGCATTATGCATGGGCAAACTTAGCGATCTCCCAGGTTTGTGCAGCCAACCTGTTCAAACCATGCAGAAAAATGCTCTACAGTTATTGACTCTGACAATGCAGAGACTGGCTTGAATAACTATGTTAAAAACATTTTGACTTTGGCAAGATGTCAGGAAAATGACAGTGATAAGTGGCAATCTGCTTTGACAATGAGTAATGTGATGGAATTAAAGTATGTGTGTAAGTGTTGGCTGGGCCTGGCAAAAGTTTCAGAGCTCTCTGATGGCACAGGCAGATGGAAGCATTGATAACAAGGTCACTGCCTCCCGTGCTTCAAATCTTCCCAAACTCACTCTCTGCAGCGGGGCTGGAGAATCTGTGTTTGCGGCTGGCTCACTGAATTGCATAAATCAGAGTGTAGGTGTCCTTGGGAGAACCTCAGCTGTGAAATTTTATCAAAATTTATCAACCAAGGCAGGAGTTGCATACTTCAAAGTTCCTGAATTGTTTTGGCACTTGGAATCAAACAGGAGTTAAGGGAGATCATGGAATCATAGATTTGGAAGGGACTCCAAGGGTTATTTAGTCTAACCCCCACAGTGCAGGAAGCATCCATGACAGGTGGCCATCTGTCTAATAAGATTGTTTTTGAGAAACCCATTCTGGGTCTTAGTATCCACAACATCTTTTTCTATGACCCTACCTGGACCCTGAGATCACCAGCTGAGTTCCTTCTTCATGTGCCTCCTCCTCCAGAGGTTGGGAGGGTGGCCACATGAGAACGGGGCCTTTTCTGCAGTGGCTCCCCATCTGTGGAATGCCTTCAGGCACCAGGCAAAAGTGCTCCTCTTTAACCAGGCATTTGACTGATTGACACCCATCGCCCATTTAAAATGTGATGGGAGGGCACTACTGTGTTGTTTTTGTTTCTATTTTGATTATGTATTTTGTGTTTTTATATTGTGATTATATCCCGTGAACCACCCTGAGACCTGTGGGTAAAGGGCAGTATACAAATTTAATCAATAATGATAATAATAATAATAATAATAATAATAATAATAATAATAGTAAAACAAGCACAGGAGAAAAGCTATTATTTAAGGCTAGAAGAAAGGGGACATTGTTGCTAGAGAATGCTAAGAAGGGGGGGCAGTGCACTTTTGTAAAGTCCTTTCCAACGCTGCAATTCTATGATTCAAAAACAGCATCCAGTTGTATCCAAACATAGATAAAACATCTGGCTTCTTAATCTTGGGAACCAGCATGCAAAATTTGGTGACAATACCTTAAGATGTATCCAAATGCATAAAAAAGACAAAGGGATAAACAACTTCCAAAATATATAGTAGATACAATTAACCTTGATAATGTGTGCATTAAAAAAGAGGAGAAAAACGAGTTTTTCCCTTAATCAGCATTTTCAGCAAAAGTGCAATTACTTTTCTAGAAGATTCTTACTTTCTGGCAGCACATGACATAAACTTAGTTGCTTTTGAATGTTTCAGTTATGCTGAACCAGCTACCCAAATGGCTTCATAAAACTTTCATTTCTGCATTGTGTACATAGAATACCCATGTCCTCTGCAAATCCACTGGTGGGTGGATTTTAGAACTTATTCCACAAGGGAGCAGTAGCATAAGCCAAGAGTTGCACGCAGCAGTTCTCAGACTGTAAAGCAGGACCCCCTGCCAAGAGTGGGAGAGGGACTGGAGACAGGGAGTGCCGTCCTTCCCCCTGGCCAAGGCCTGCGTCAACGGCCTCTTTTCACCACGCTGAAAGGGGGCAGCACCTCTACTGACCTATCAGCCCAACCTGAAAGGTGAAAGTGTGGCAGATGAGAACTGCGGTCGAAACGGGAATCATAGAACTGTAGAGTTGGAAGGGATCCCAATGGTCCTCTAGTCCAACCCCCTGCAATGCAGGAGTCACAGCTACATACCCTGCAAATTTTCTCCAGTGGAAATAGGGACGTCACATTCCATAATGATCAGTTTTCTATTTATACCCCAGACATCTTCAGGGTTGCCCCAGCCACTCTGGGCAGCTTCCAACACATATAAAAAACATAATAAAACAATAAACAATTAAAACCCTTCCCTATACAGGATTGGCTTCAGATGGCAAGAGGGCTGGATAACTCCATATTTTCCAACATTTCTCCAATGGAAATAGGGACATCCTAAGGAAAAGTGGGACATTCCAGGATCAAATCAGAAACCGGGGTGGCTTCTCTAAATCAGGGATGTCCCTGGAAAACTGGGGCATTTGGAGGGTTTGCAGCTCAAGAATCCCTGATAGATGGCCACACAACTCTGCACAGGGAAGCTGTTAGTGGGTGATGTCTCATTGTGTCTTTATATTTTGTTGGAAGCGCCCAGAGTGCCTTGGCCAATCCAGTCAGCAGCAGCAGGAGGAGAAGCTGACCACTGGAGTTGCACTGTGCTCGACTCCATGCTTGGCCTCCTCCACCCTATTTGAGCATTGGAGGGCAGCCCCCTCTCCAGAAATATTGGGCCTAGGTTTTCAACCTTTTTGAGTCAGGGGCTCCCTTGACCAACTACATTCTTTCTGTGGCTCCCCTGTGGGGTTCAGGAGCCCAGGTATGTCCCCCCTTGCCTGCAGAGCTTGCAGCCTCTCACCCTTTTCCCAACACCCTCCCTTGTGGAGGGTTCCCTCAGCCTCCTCTCCTCTCCTCTCTCCCTGGGAGTCCTCTGGGCAGCTGCTGCCCCACCCCAAAGAGAGGTGATTCCCAGAGGCACCATTCGCCCGCAGCGCTTCTAGCCAGGGCTGCTGCAGCAAACAGCTGTGCAAGCCTTGGGGAGGCAAGAGACGTGAGAGGGGATCAGAGGAGGGAGGGAAGGAAAGAGGGACAGAAGCCAGTGCTGCTCATGATACCCCTGGCCATCCTTCAAGGCACCCCAGGGGGCCACAGCACACTGGTTGGAAACCACTGGCCTAGGAGGTGGCAACACTTTAGAGATCCTTAATTTCCACATCTGTGGCGGGGGGGG